CAATGTGGGCAACCCCGTCTCAATCGTGCGTGCAGGGAAACGGTGCATGATCTCAAAAGGGGGAATTTTTGAAGAAATCTGATAATTCATATTCGTGGCAAATGACGCAGACTCTAGATTATCTTCATCGTCGCAGTTTTTTAGATCTGGCCCCGCAAGTTTCCTCAAAAGCAGCTTCATCGTTTTATTTGTGTTTCACACCTGTCCATTTTGCTGCGGCGTGTATGGCCAGGTCTTCAAATGCTCTATCTTGAGCAGGCTCAGAAGACTGTCATTTAAAGCAATGCAAAATTCTGGCCCTCCGTCCAACAAAAAAGCCAAGGGCCTTCCAAATCTTCGGCTAAGGCTCACCAATGCCTTTGCGATTGTCGGCGGTTTTGTCAAGCAAAGCTTTGACAATCACAAATTTGCTAAAAAGACAAGTTGCTGTGAACAAATGAAGCAATTGGCGGGACCCCGGGGTCCCATCACTGCCCCGGGGTGGGAAAAACCGCGTAGCGACACGAGTCTTGCCTTACCAACAACAAAACTAGTGTAAATCGATTGGCCTTGTCGAGAGCTACTCGGGGCACTAAGTTTCGTAAAAAGTTGAAAAATTACATAAACACGTTAAATTCACTGCGGGGGCGGGCTCGCCTTGGCAAAGAAGCTGAGGATCGACGGCTGACCGGAGGGCGTCGTCGCCGCGCGCGACTGCGGCGGACGCCCCCCGGGGCTTGCGTTTGGCCGGTGGGGTGGCGCCCGTCGTGTTGATCGCCGCCTGCTGCTGCTGCTGGCGCTTGTTGGTGCGAGTCTGGGCGGGCGGCGCGTTGCTGTCGGGATCACGAGTGGGCGGACTGAAAAATAATAATTATTGATCTGATTTTTGCGGGACCCCGGGTCCCGCAAAATGCTTCAAATATCTGCTGCCTTTGTCCGATTTTGGCATGCACACGAGGCCTATGCCTACCAGCTGCCAAGGCTCTGAGGTTTCTATTGGTCGTAGTGGTGTGGGCACTGTCTTGACAGACCGCTGTCTCTGGCATTTCTCGCAGCTTTCAAAGCATCGCTTAACATGCTTTGTCATCCCTTGCCAATAATATGTCCTGCCCATGATTATCTGCGTTTTTGACAGCCCCCAATGGCCAGAGGCATCATGACATCACTTCAGATCTTATTTTCTTTCTATGTCGTTCACACAGCAACGAATCCATTTATGTCTGCGCAATTTAAAAAGCTTCCCATCCACGACTTTAAACGTTTTTGCATATTTCTTGAAATTAAACGTTTGCTGTCTGCTTCGCAGAATGGGCACGATGTTATGCTCCAAATACTTAAAAATGTCCTCGTGTGTCCAACCCGTTTCTGTATGCAGTTTAGTGATGTGTGTATGCGACAGAGGCAGAACGGTGTCGGAACTTCGAAGCTTTGGAGTGTCTCTGTAAATAAACGTGCAAGAGTCAAGTCACCATACGCAGTCTTTCTTATCCGACTCTTAAGCAAAGCAATGATGCACAGCGGAGTGCAGAGGTTCAGTTCCGACCCTTGGTCACAACACAAGTGGTTCGCGTGCACAAACGTTCTAAGCACTTGCGAATGCAAATCCAATTGAAAAACAATGAAGCACAGTAGTACTTACTGTATAAACTTTAAGATTAAATCGGACATTGTTTAGGACTGTACTTACTGCATAAACTTTAATATAAAAACTGATATTTTAAAATAAAATCGAACATTGTTTAAGACACTGCATAAACTGATGAAGATCGCTTGTGCTGTGATCGAAACGTCGTGATTGTTTTGTTTTGATATAATTTTATTGTATTTCTACATACGTGACTTTACCGACAAAGCCAATGAGTAATTTTATGCAGTCACGAAAGCTTTAATTCTTTATAAAAACGGATAGTTTAAAATAAAATCGAACATTGTTTAAGACACTGCATAAACTGTAATATAAAAAAACGGACAGTAAGTTATAGTTGAATATTAATTCGGACACGCTTTAAAATAAAAACGGACACAATAATGCGGTTACTTTCCGTAATGGTTCACCTTGTAAACGTACGCAATATTAAAATGAACATGAAACAAACCATAGGAATAGGTTTTACCCTTTTAACTGGCACAAAAACTGACACCTTTATTCAAGGCATCATGTTTGCAATAACCACAACACAAGCAGTCAAAATGCAAACAAAAAAGACAACTCTGATAATAATATGCACTGTCAGAGTTGTCTTTTTTGTTTGCATTTTGACTGCTTGTGTTGTGGTTATTGCAAACATGATGCCTTGAATAAAGGTGTCAGTTTTTGTGCCAGTTAAAAGGGTAAAACCTATTCCTATATCTTGTTTCTGGCAAAGGAGGTCTCATAATGAAACAAACCGAAAAGCAAGTATTTAAACATTGTTTTTAAATTCCTGTTTCAGAGCAAGAGCGGCGGCGTTTGTGGGAGTCTGCTGGAACTTGCAGCACAAAACGGGGATTGTCATTAATAATTTTTCAAATGTTTTAGCAAAAAAAATTCCATTTACGTTTCAAATTTCCGCGGGCAAATCATTGAGCGGCATTAATAACTTGCCATCAATAACAACGTGCCATCAAGAACGTGCTATCAATAACTAACGTGCCATCAATTACGTCCCATCAATAACGTGCCACCAATAACATGCCATCAATGCCAATGACGATTCGTTCGTGAATCGAGGTGGTCAAGTGGCCCGCTCCCCACCCCCCCTACTTTTATTCTTCTTCCTCCTCCCTTCGATTGTCGAAGGGCCGTGCTTTTTATTTTAATTTCCCGTCAGTTTCCATGCGAATCACAGCGCCCCCACCGGCCCGTGGGTCTCCAGCACGAAGGCGCGCGGTCACGAAACGGGCAGCAGCAGCAGCAATCAGCTGGAGTCGCCTTGGCGCTCGCCCGCAGTCATCTTCGTTATGGGAAGATGTCACGTCCTGGTCATTCAGTGGCGATTTTAAACTAGAAACATTTTTTTTATTTTGCCAATTAAGGCCCACTGAGCTATATAGCTCTTTTTTTCAGAAACTACCTGGCCACAAACGTCTCGCTCAACGAAGTGGCTTATCATCGTGTGGACATTTATAGTCGTAAGCCAAATACTCTTAAACGCGTGTTTGTATAAATGTGGGGGGAAACCGGAGGATCTGGAGAAAAATTCACGCGACCACGGGGAGAGTGTGGGTGAGCCAATCTCACCCACCGTGTGCCTATCCACCGGTGGGTGAGCCAATCTCACCCACCGTGTGCGTATCCACCGGTGGGTGAGCCAATCTCACCCACCGTGTGCCTATCCACCGGTGGGTGAGCCAATCTCACCCACCGTGTGCGTATCCACCGGTGGGTGAGCCAATCTCACCCACCGTGTGCGTATCCACCGGTAGGTGAGCCAATCTCACCCACCGTGTGCGTAACCACCGGTGGGTGAGCCAATCTCACCCACCGTGTGCGTATCCACCGGTGGGTGAGCCAATCTCACCCACCGTGTGCGTATCCACCGGTGGGTGAGCCAATCTCACCCACACTGTGCCTATCCACCGGTGGGTGAGCCAATCTCACCCACCGTGTGCGTATCCACCGGTGGGTCAGCCAATCTCACCCACCGTCTGTGCTGAATCTGCCCCACCCGTGCGTGCGCTACCACGCGCGCGATTCAGCAGGTGCCGCTCTTCCCCGGAGTGAACCCTAACCCAGCAGCAGCAGAATGTTTAAGGTGCCCTGAGAGCTGATGAAGTCCAGGAGGGCAAACCCAGGTGCGAAGCTTGCTCGTCTAAAATAACCCTTGATGTCCTTGGTCTGGAACACCGATAAATATAGTACAGTATATTGTGTCCTCGCAGCCTGCAGGGACGTGACCGTCGTCCGTCCAGCCAGCCAGCAAACCCTGTTTCAAATCGATAACCCGTTGCTTTACAACGGGGGAAAAATCATTGATAGCTGTCATCAGCACCTTGCGACCTCTGGGTGAAAAGTGTACATTATTATTTTCATACTTTTCACAATACTATATTTGGAGTACTTCAGCTTGCCGGTGAGAACGATGAGGGCTTCTCGATCCTGTTTTACGTGGCCGAACAACCTCCCACCCCCACCCACCCTGAACAATCCCACCCACCAACCCTGAACAATCCCACCAACCCTGAACAATCCCAGCCACCCACCCTGAACAATCCCACCCACCCTGAACAATCCCAGCCACCCACCCTGAACAATCCCACCCACCCTGAACAATCCCACCCACCAACCCTGAACAATCCCACCCACCCTGAACAATCCCAGCCACCCATCCTGAACAATCCCAGCCACTCACCTGAACAATCCCACCCACCATGAACAATCCCAGCCACTCACATGAACAATCCCACCCACCATGAACAATCCCACCCACCCTGAACAATCCCACCCTGAACAATCCCAGCCACCCACACTGAACAATCCCACCTTGAACAATCCCACCCACCCACCCTGAACAATTCCAGCCACCCAACATGAACAATCCCATCCTGAACAATCCCACCCAACATTAACAATCCCACCCACCAACCCTGAACAATCCCACCCACCCTGAACAATCCCAACCACCCACCCTGAACAATCCCAGCCACTCACCTGAACAATCCCACCCACCATGAACAATCCCAGCCACTCACCTGAACAATCCCACCCACCATGAACAATCCCACCCACCCTGAACAATCCCACCCTGAACAATCCCACCTTGAACAATCCCACCCACCCACCCTGAACAATTCCAGCCACCCAACATGAACAATCCCATCCTGAACAATCCCACCCACAACAATCCCGCCACTGCCACCACCCTAGCGGTATCGCAGACCCCAGCACCACCACCACCTGCCACGTTCCCTTCTGTGCCGCGCGGCGCCTTTGCGTTCACGAAGCCCCAAGCAAGATGGCCGACAGGGGAGCACGGGGGGTGGATGACGTCACGCATCCCGCAAGCGGAAGCGGCCCCCACCCAGCCCCCGCCCGCTTCCACCACCACCAGCACCATCACCACCGTGTGCATGGGGAGCGGCGCGGAACAGCGGCGGCGGTGTTCGGTGGTGGTGACGGCAGTCGTGGTTGGTGGTGGAGACGGCAGTGGTGGTTGGTGGTGGTGGTGGTGACGGCAGTGGTGGTTGGTGGTGGTGACGGCGGCAGTGGCGGTGGTTGCGGCGGCTCGGGACGACAACGATCACAGCAATCAACCCGTCGCCACCCGTCAGTGTCTCTCGCGTGTGCGGGGAAAGGAGGGCTCTGGGGGGCTGTGGGGGGCTCTGGGGGGCTGTGGGGGGCTCGCGTGGGAGGGAGCGGAGGCGGAGGGGGGGCCGCGTCCCGAGCTCCTCGCCGACGTTAAATCGACATCCGAGGTGGAGCGGCATTGCCCTGCCAGACCCGAACCCCGCGGGTCACTGTTCATTAGTCGATGTGACAGCTGCGATACCAATTCATATTCATGGGTCTTTAGGTAAAGTCACGTAGATAGGGTCAAAGAAAATAACAAAAAACTACGACGTTTCGATCGCAACACAAGCGGTCGTCTTAAGGAAAAGAAGACGACCGCTTGTGTTGCGATCGAAACGTCGTAGTTTTTTTGTAATTTTCTTTGACCCTATCTACGTGACTTTACCTAAAGACCCAAGAATATGAAATCCTGCAGTCACGAGAGCTTTAAGCTGCTATGCTTCTTCCACTTCTCCTGCCCTTACACATCTCCTGCCCTTCCTCTCATCCTGCCCTTCCTCTCATCCTGCCCTTCCACTCATCCTGCCCTTCCACTCATCCTGCCCTTCAACTCATCCTGCCCTTCAACTCACCCTGCCCTTCCACTCACCCTGCCCTTCCACTCATCCTGTCCTTCCTCTCATCCTGCCCTTCCTCTCATCATGCCCTTCCACTCATCCTGCCCTTCCTCTCATCCTGCCCTTCCTCTCATCCTGCCCTTCCACATCTCCTGCCCTTCCACTCATCCTGCCCTTCCTCTCCTGCTCTTTGGCCAATCCACTGCTTTTCCTGGATACGAGAAAGAGGGCCCTCCCCAAACGCCGTGTCGGTTTGGAAGATTGACCATACTTCACCACGCTGGTCCAGTTCGGATTGGTGAACAGGGTGCTGGGGATAACCCGGCTTAGGTGGCGTTCGCCACTGATGTTAGCCGTGGCGGGTAATCTGAAACAAAAACTGAGGTGTGGGCGAAGCACTGCGCCAACGCTCCACTCAATAATGAAGATGCCTTGTGACATTTACCATACAAACGAAGGAAAGAGAGTTCTTGTATGTGTGTGCATGTTTACGAAACTCACATTGCAACTGCAAGTTTACCTAGCTTGCACGCACACCCACACACTGACATTCCAGGCATCATGAGACAAACCACTGTCTTACACGTTTGTACACAAGCCTGGTCTAAGCTACTGGATTTAAAAAAAGTGATGGCGAACAAAAAAACGTATTGACCGGTCTCCGATGGGATACCCGTTATGTATGTATAAATGTTGCACTGTTGAGACCCCCATCAGACCGGTCTCTGTTGGGGTCTCTAGACAATAGACTGACCGGTCTCTGATGAGGTCTCTAGACAATGGACTGACTGGTCTCTGATAGGGTCTCTGGACAATAGACTGACCGGTCTCTGATGGGGTCTCTGGACAATAGACTGACCGGTCTCTGATGAGGTCTCTAGACAATGGACTGACTGGTCTCTGATAGGGTCTCTAGACAATAGACTGACCGGTCTCTGATGGGGTCTCTAGACAATAGACTGACCGGTCTCTGATGTGGTTTCTAGAGAATAGACTGACTGGTCTCTGATGGGGTCTCTAGAGAATAGAGTGACCGGTCTCTGATGGAGTCTCTAGACAATAGACTGACTGGTCTCTGATGAGGTATCTAGACAATAGACTGACTGGTCTCTGATGGAGTCTCTCGACAATAGACTGACCGCTCTCTGATGGGGTCTCGAGAGAATAGACTGACTGGTCTCTGATGGGGTCTCTAGAGAATAGACTGACTGGTGTCTGATTGGGTCTCTAGACAATAGACTGACCGGTCTCTGATGGGGTCTCTGGACAATAGACTGACTGGTCTGATGGGGTCTCTGGACATTAGACTGACTGTTCTGATGGGGTCTCTGGACAATAGACTGACTGGCTTGATGGGGTCTCTAGACAAAAGACTGACCGGTCTTTCATGGGGTCTCTAGACAAAAGACTGACCGATCTTAGATGGGGTTTCTAGACAATAGACTGACTGTTCTGATGGGGTCTCTAGACAATAGAATGACCGGTCTCTGATGGGGTTTCTAGACAATAGACTGACTGGTCTCTGATAGGGTCTTTAGACAATAGACTGAGTGTTGTAACAATACGCCTGGTCTCTGATAGGGTCTTTAGACAATAGACAGTCTTGTAACAATACGCCTGGTCTCTGATAGGGTCTTTAGACAATAGACTGAGTCTTGTAACAATACACCTGGTCTCTGATAGGGTCTCAATAGACTGAGTCTTGTAACATTACACCTGGTCTTTGATAGGGTCTCAATAGACTGAGTCTTGTAACAATACGCCTGTCGTCTATAACTTTCAAAATTCCGCTTCAGCTCTTTCGTTCGGAGTGCTCCTTTTCTAGCGTCTGACAAAGTCGCTCGGAATGTACCAGATGTCATATATCGGCAGCAGGGTTGAATCTGGATAGTGCTTGGATGGGTGGCCACAGAGGCACAGCAGATCATAGGCTGCAGGGCCACTTCGGAGCAGAAGGGAATGGAGCTATCTCCATGGACCATGGTAATGTGTATGGGCACTCCTCGACTTACGAACGGCTTACGTTCTTGAGGCCCATTCGTAAGTCGAATTGTTCATAAGTCTAAACACTGCAATGTACTGTATTTAAATGCACATACGGTCAGTGTTATAAAATGTGTTACGGGTCAACAATATTGGGAATTATTGTTAAACTCATCAATAAGAGGAAATGTACATTTGCATGTAATACTGTAATACCTATTGTATAGTAAATAAAACATAAATGAAAGTAACATAAATAGAAAAACATGTTTTATTTTCACTTGCCTTGAGTCCTGATACCCGCTTGCTTGTCGGAATGGGTACAATGAATCCCTACAATTGCACACATGGAACACGTGCGCATGTTTGTGTGTCCCATGTGTGTGTTCCTCAAATGACATCGCCACTCGGGAGACAAAGGCGGCCGGGTGTGGTACTATCCGCACACATCCTTGTGCACTGTGCCGACCTTCATAGGTGCTCACTAATAGCACTTGCCCCAACAACATGTTCAGGCTATACGGGGGTCTTTGTTTGTGTGTTTGTGCTGAGTAAAGCTTTCCTGCCGCAGGAGGAGCGTCAGTGCCCTCAAATGGTCGTCACTGATTTGAATGTTTTGGTTGATTGACACGAAACGACGACACTGATGATGCTGCTGCTGCTGCTGCAGGAGGAGCGCCGTGGATCTGCTGCCCTCGATCTCGCTGGCGCTGGCTGAGGGATGGCGACGGGGCCGATGAGTGGCGACATGGAGGCAACGCCGCCTGGGTTCGTGGAGGAGATCGACTCCGATGAGATCATCGTGGAGGAGGTGAGTGCTCCCTTCCACCCTAACCATCGTAACTCCACCCTCACCCAGAACGCACCCGATGTAACTCATCAGATCTCACAATCTAAGCGGGGATTGAGCGTGGATAGCACTCCGATGGTGATCACGCTGCATGGCACAGATGATATAGATTGTTGCGGGTTGCATTGACCAGCGTGGTGTAGAATGGGCAAATGACCGCCATGACTCCGCATGGCACGGGGAGGCCGTGGAGATATCACGAGTGAATAGGAGCCCAGCACAAAGTATACTCCATAATAAAAAAGCATTTAGGTTAGAGGGCGTATATATAAATGTGTCGTTCAACCCGCCACCTCAGCCAATCAGTAAGGTTTGTCACGTAAACGAAACATGCCAATTTGTTACTATTTCAGTAGACCAGTGTGTTGGAAAGTAAACCCGCAACAATTACAATTTGAGTACTTTCCTTTCTTTCCATGGCATCAGGAGGTGTGCTGAACTGGTTAGCTAAACAAAGTATATTCTTGGTTCTTTCGGTAAAGTCACGTAGAAGGGAAACAATAAAATAATAAAAATATAAACAATACAATTCTCACGACGTTTCGACTGCAACACAAGCAATCATCATCAGGTGTGAAAACCACAGCAAGAAAATGTTCTTGCTGTGGATCAGGTGTGAAAACCACAGCAAGAAAATGTTCTTGCTGTGGTTTTCACACCTGATGATGATTGCTTGTGTTGCAGCCTGTATGGAGCTTTACACCAAGGCTTGCCAAGCGATTGTTAACCCCACCCCATTTTAAACAATTTGGGTCCTTCTCATCTTTTCTCAACCATTCCTAATTTAGCTACCAATCCTATCATAGCTACCCCAACCACCCTTTAACCGACAGTCTCTTTCCCTTTGAGTTTTTGGCTTTCTTTGCTCGTAAAAAGTCTCTCCGCCAATGACATTTGAACACACGCATATATTTACCCCGTCCAGACACACACTTCCTTGGCTAGCCAAGCGGCATGTGCACCTTCGATTAGCACGGTTGGCTACGTACTGCGTGAAGGAAGTTCAACATACATACATGCATGTGCGAGCTAATGCCCGGCTTTGACAGCATTTCAATATGCGACTCGCAGATTTCCTAAATATTTGCATTTTAAACAATTCAGCCATCAAGCTGCTGTTTGGCGGTGGCATCTTTTATTTGACAATATCACTTTTGAGTGACCCTACACCTGTAGACTTAGTAAAGAATAGTCTGACAATTATCAATGCTGTTGGTTATGCCAGTTACAAAATAAACTGCCTTTTCACTGGATTTCTGTTAAGACGCAGGACCATAACTCGACTTATTCAATCCCAAGTAGCCCTGTTTTTATTTAGAACAAGTTGAATAACCTACTGTTTTAATGTTTAAACATAATTGATTCATTCGTCAGACATGCTCACATTTCTCGTTTGTAACTCAACTTTTTTTTTTAATTCACATATGCTAAAAGTAATGGATTCATACTACCCCTGTGGCAGTTCTTGAATAGAACCCTCGAAATTCTTTGGATCGCTGGTGGTGATTTTTCTTTTATTGAACAAAGCATGAGCCCGTTACAGTGCACCGCAAAACTCGCTCGATCCGACGACATCGTTCGAATGGTACATTCACGACGTGCATGCGCCATTTATTAGGAGGAGCGGGGGAAGACACGAAGGGGCAGTGGGCACCGGTGGTGATTTTTAATTGTTCCAACCCGAGCAGCGCTGCAGCATAACCTTGTTTAAAAGGGGGGCATAAATAACTAAGGGGGGGGGGGCGGTAGCGGCGTGGGGCTCGATACAGTCAATGTTAAGAATATTGTAAATTCAAAACGGAATGAGTAAAGATGTGATCTGGTTTTGTCTGTCATGCATTCTGCTCTCGCTATCGTCCCCCTGTGAAAATGAGGAAAGGCTGCAATGTACTAATGAGTTCTTTCCGAGAGGATGTGAGCTGGATTGAATAGAAAAAGTCCATATTCACCTTCACCCCATACGATCAACGTCTATGAGTGCAAATAATAGCATACTTGTGTACCATGGTTTGAACTCTGGGCGCTCATTTTGGTGGATGTGGAATTTGTAGTCGATGATGTCGATTGTCGCCCAGGTGGTGGGAAGGGGAGCGTTTGGAGTGGTGTGCAAAGCCAAGTGGCGGGGCATGGACGTGGCCATCAAGCAGATAGAAAGCGAGTCAGAAAGGAAGGCCTTCATTGTGGAGGTGAGATCGCAACATTGTCCACGCACCCCGAGCGGAAGTTATCTTCTGACCGGATCATTACAATAGTTCGCTAAACCTTTCGGATTTAAAAAAATAAAAGTTCTAAACAAAACTAAATGCTGCAGTATGATTATTGCAGCTATATATAAGAAATAGAATATAATTATGTTGAATCTCAGATCACTATAACTTGCAAACCAGTTGACTCAAGGGTCAGTACACTGAGCTGGCAAAAAACAAAGCCCACATTTGAAGCTTTTGAAGTCTTTCGTCTTAATCACATTTGATATCCCACAATTAACCGCTCCAGTCGAGGCATGAGAATCTTGACTTTTCTGGTACAACAATGAACAGCAGTCTCGCAACAAGGAATCATATGGCACAGGACGACTCAAATACTACTTACATCGTTGGTCTGGTACCTAATGCCACATAACACTTTTCCTTGTGACTGGTTTGTTGCATTTTCATTCCTCCCTCATGAATAAAATGCAGGCCTCGTAGCTCTACTGGATCAAATTTAATTCAACACCACATTTTTTGTTAACTTATGGTCCTTTATTCAGTCATTTGTGACTGGGCTAAGGCATCAACTTACTAAAAATGTTGGACCCGGTGTTAATCACAGTTTTATCTGCCCTAATTCAAACTCTCGATCACAGCAGTGCCAGCGTAATGTTCTGATGGCTTTTGTGAGTTCCTTTCAGACTGTGCTCTGCCCAATGTCTGCTCTCTTTTGTGCTCACCAGAAGTTTTTTTGGATGCCTAGATATTACTCGCATTATCCTGCATTGTTTAAACGCAATTTTTGCTTCGCGGTGGACTTCAATTGTACGTGCTCAATTGTATCTTTGTGCGTGCGTTTTGATATCCTCGTTATCTCCAGCTACGGCAGCTGTCGAGGGTCAACCATCCCAACATAGTGAGGCTGTACGGAGCCTGCCTGAACCCTGTGAGTGCCGTTTCCACAATCTCTGTGAATGCATTCAAGAGCAAATGACGCTCATGCCACCACCGTATATGTGTGTGTTTCTTCCTTGCACTTAGTTTTATTTTTCTAAAGTGTGTATACCATCAGAAGGTTAAGTTCCATGTGTCAATGTTGTTTTTAAAGTTGCTTTTATTTGCACAGCAACAATCATTTTATCACCCAGTATTTTTGGGGGGATATTTCCACATTGTTCCGCATGTGGTGTGTGGGTGTTAACGATTTTGTGGCAGTATTCGCATGGATGGGCCCAAATCACATACAGTAGACTCTCAATTATCCATGTGCGGTTTGTACAATTTCTGGATTAACAGCGCACCTGAGAATTTGACAGAAATTAATAAGTCATGGATTTTCCCTTCAGCCCAAATGAATAATATAAAAACGGTTATACATTGTTATTCTTGGAAATGTGTATTACAAGTCACGTGCTTAAACCGAACAAATATGTGCTCCGGTTAATCTGAAATCGACGTGATTGCCTCTACAGTACAGTAGTTGCATATCTTTGCAACAGTGGGTGGAGTTTGATTGATTTTCATTGGCATGGCTCTGCTATCTACTTAGTGATATAATTTGTGTTTATTTCGTGGAATTTTATAGCAGCAAAATAATTTCAATAACCTAAAGGCATGTTTCTAATTATGGAGGGAATAACCGGAGGACCCGGAGAAAAAATCCACATGACTACAGGGAGAACATGCAAACTTCAAATATACAGGTGTCAGGGACAGGATCAAATCCCTGACTTCCTGCATACCAGCGAGGTAGTTAACATCTTGCCACCGTGGTGCCCCTTAAAGTAAAGTTATAATCATATCCATATGGCTCGCCGAGTGACTCAGGATGCGATGCCATGTCAGGGCGCTGAGCCCTTACCGCTGAGACCCTGGGTTTAAATTCAGTCAACTGCCCATGATTAAATTATGTTGTTTTATACTCTTGGGTTCTTTCTGATGGTGAAATCAGTGACTGCACAGGAACCTTCTATCTTATTGACTTTTAGTTCTTAATTTGTACATCTTTCTTGCAATGTGGACTATGAAATAATTCGATATGATCGCCAAGAGATAAACTACTGGAGAGCAGGGCAAGCGAGGCAGTTTGGTAGCCCAAGCACACATAAGGAACAGTTGAAGGACCTGAAAAGTTCTGTGATGCCCCCTTCCTGATGCCGTGCTCGAACACGGAATGGTGCACTGCTTTGTGCAAGAATTCCAAAAATAAATGCCCATGACATTTGCATTAAATTAATCTGAATTCGACTCTGTAGTATGGATTTTTTCTGTGATTGTAGCATGGACGGGAGGTTGGGAGGCCTTCCCGATTTAGTCTCTAGCTGGTAGCTTTTGAAAACGTTATCAAAAATTTATCACCAGCTACACATTTGGATTTAGTGCGGTTTGTAAAAACCACTACTTTGCATGAGAGAAGTCGGATATTGTGCAAACTGCTGTGCCTTATGGTGACGAATGTGTAATTTCCCACTTGTTTATCCGTACGTGCGAATACTGACGGGATGTTTGCTTTTTTGGCGAGCAGGTCTGTCTGGTGATGGAGTATGCTGAAGGAGGCTCCCTCTATAACGGTGAGGGAAGCTTGTGATGGTGTGAAATAAGTTCTACATGCATACATACAACACTGATCACATTCACTCTGTGCCATTGGAGTTAGCTCAGATCTAGCATTGATTAAAATGTATAATTATGCTCAATATACATGCATGCATTCAAGCATGCACATAAGAGTCGGTTATGTTTTGATTCCCACTCCTTGTAACCATGACCCTCTGATGCCACTGAATGCCACTACATTAATGACCAAACAAACATTTGATTCGCTCATTGAATTGCGATGGGGCGAATCCCTAGAGGCCTTTAGTCTGAATGGAGTGTAGAGGTCCATTCAGGTGCATTGAGGTTAATAGTCTTATGGTGTCTCTAGAAGGTAGATTAAACTAAAACCATGAAACTAAACTGTTTCATTTTACCAGGGAGGAGCCACTGAGCTATGTAGCTCTTTTTCAGAGGCGACCTGGCCACAAATGATAGCCCAATGAAGTTGCTTATCACGTGGAAATTTATAGCAGCCAAATACTCTTATACACGTGTTTCTAAATGTGGAGAGATAAACCAGAGGACCTGGAAAAAAATCCACGTGACCACGAGGACAGAGACATGCAAACTCCAACACACAGGCGTCAGGGTCAGGATCGAACCCACAACCTCCCGTATACCAGGTGAGATCGTTAACATCTTGCCACTGGGATGTTGATAAGCCGTTTAAACAACAGACTGACAATCCCGGAGTCTGGTGTGGGGGTCCGTAGCCAATCATTGTACTGACAAGAATCAGAAAGGGTTTCTAGACAATAGGCAAGAGACGGAGGAGTCTCTGGGGTTCCATCGGCGTGCTCCCCGTTTGCCCAGTGCTGCACGGAGCGGAGCCGCTGCCTTACTACACGGCGGCGCACGCCATGCGCTGGTGCCTGCAGTGCGCGCAGGGTGTGGCCTACCTGCACTGCATGAAGCCCAAGGCTCTCATCCACCGTGACCTCAAACCGCCCAAGTGAGTCGAGGGCCTTGCCCATCTCTCCTCCTTGTGAAAAAAATAACTCCAGTTTAACACGTAGACTTTTGCGACCAATAATCATCCATAATCTAGGTTTTTTTGTTTGGGTTAGATCGCGTAAATATAAATGTGTCCTTAAACAGGTTTAAAAAGAAAAAAAACCTTTTGATTTAAAGCTTTCGTGACTGCAGGGATTCATATTCTTGGTTCTTTCGGTAAAGTCACGTAATTGATTGTTCACGCTTACGGTGGCTTTCAGACCGCATCTATTATTTTCGTCCCCCCCCTCCTCTTTTCCGAACATAGATGGACTCGTCCATCTGAATAACTGCCAAATTTCTCTCCGTGGTGCTAACGTAAAAAAAAACTGCCACTTTTTTCAAATTTTCTTGCTGTGGTTTTCACACCTGATGATGATTGCTTGTGTTGCAGTGGAAACGTCGTGATAATTTTATTGTTTTATATATTTTTTTATTTTATTGTTCCCTTCTACGTGACTTTACCGAAAGAACCAAGTATAAGAAAAAAAAACTTTTATAAAAAATAAATCCCGCACGTGCGCGAGCAAGCACCCTACCCGTGTCATATCGCCTTGTTCCTCAAGTTCCTAGAGCAGTAGTTCTTAACCTTTGCTGCAGCCTTGGACCCCTTTGGTTCTCAATGGTTAAAAAAATGTATAATGTTTATAAATACATAGGGTTTGATGAAACAAAGTAGTTGTGCGTAGTTTGTGTTTGGATTGTTTACCTTCTAAATAAATCTGGCATCTATCGCACCCCCAGAAAAGGCATCTCGCACCCCCAGGGGGTGCATGTACCCCAGGTTAAGAACCACTGCTCTAGATCATTGTATTCATCCGGTGAGTACGCTAATTCTGTGGGTGCAGTCTTCAGCGATTTCGTGAACTGTGGTACCGTGTCAAAAGGGCTATAAAGTTTTTTTCATGAGGTTGGCTGGAGAACAGGTTTACCCACTGGCAGAGCCAGTGGGAGTGGGTGTCATGTGCCCCCCCAATGATCCGATCAAAATCCATAATTTTGATCGGATCATTGGGGTTTATTAGTAATAAATCAGCATTTTGCGATCCCCACTGCCAATGTGTAGCATATTATTATTACATGCCAGGGACTCTATGAGATGATAGGACAATAGTCCGAGTCCATAATTGGCAATAAGTAACGGCAAAGCGGTTACAAGTGACTCACAAAATTGTGCGCAGTTGCGTCTACAGGACACGACTTCGCTGAAGGCAAACACCTTCAGCGAGCGCGATGCCGATCACACACGGTTCGAATTCGACCCTCGATCAATGGCTGCACCATCGTCGCACACGCGTCGAATAAAAAGCAAGGGACAAGTCCTTATACTTACTAACAACTCCTATCATTTTTCATTGATAGAGGGGTTTCCCACCCTACCTGAAAATCCTGGCTCCGCCATTGGGTTTACCCATGTAAACGCCGTGGCTGTAGCATGATTGTCGTTAAATAGTGTGACGGCATCGAAAACGTCGAGCGAAGTTTATTTTCTGAAGATGGGAGAGAGATGCACGCCACTTTGGGCACTCACCCAGAAGTTAAATAAAATGCCCTCACCTGACATACTTCAAAGAGCCTATCCTCCCATCAACATTAAATCGCACTCCTTGACCGTGTAGAGGGATAAATGGATCCTTCTGTATTTGTGCACCAAATAAGCTTTCGGAGTTGGGCGTGCTGTCCAATGCCCATACCACTGTTATTGATCTGCGTCTGAAATGGGAGCCAGTGAAGAGATTTGCAAGATTTTTCTGATGCGATCGCTTCTTACAGATTAAAGTGAGGGACACTCACATGACCTCTGGGAGTGAACTAGGGAGTCACTGGGGGGCAAAATGTGAAAGGCGCTCTCATTTGCTCAACTGGATTTGCCTTTGCAGCTTGCTGCTCATATCTGGAGGGACGATCTTAAAAATCTGCGACTTTGGCACGGCCTGCGACATCCAGACCCACATGACAAACAACAAGGGCAGTGCTGCCTGGATGGCCCCAGAGGTGTTTGAAGGTGACGCTCGCACACGCACACACACGCGCACATGCACAGACTCGCAGAAACACGAAGAGATACGCACACAAGAAACTGATTTTTTCCCTCTTCCTCTAGCCTTCAGTCTGTAGGTGGCAAGTGCTGCAGATGAACACCTGTCAAGGGTAGCACCACGTTCGTTGTCTTTTGAAGATGCATATTAAGTGGCGGTATTCTATTCGGAGCTCTTGTATGCATTAAGACCACATGTTTGTTCACCTGTTGAACCAATTTCTTGGGTTTATTAAACCTGAATTGATCACGCCTGTTGCAAATGTAAATTTTTCTATGGATCGTCACATCTGAACAGCGTTTAACAGTGTCTCAATTTGCATTTCAAATGTGGATGATAATGTTGACTGTATGGGGTCTCATGAATGTGAATTCAGAAGTCCAGTGTTAATTAGAGGAAATGTTGACCCCATTGATTGTTAGGTTCACCTGTAACCAGCACTTTGTAAAATAACCATCGTATAGATTGATGAAACTCCTTAACTGGCTGAGCTGCAAAGTGGACCATTTGTGTAAAAAATCCCATTCTGTCAGCTCCTAAGTGGAGTTTTCGCCGGATATTGTGGTTTCATCTCACAGTTGAATTTGGCCTTTCATCCCATATGAAAGTCTTGCAAATCCAGCGGGGCTTTTTATTTCCGAACAAATTGACATCATCGTTGTATCGATATTGCATCGATTCTGAACCTCACCAGACATTGAGTTGTGATGGTGGGTGGGGGAGCGATGAGGTGAGAGTCCTGTGGGCGATGGGACGCAGATGATTTGTGTTTCTCCGCCGACAGCGGGATGACGATGAGCCATGCGTCCCGGTGGGTGTATGTGTGCGCACGCTGCTCCACAAACCCGGGGAACCGAGTTCGATTTCCTCTTATGATCAACACCATTAACGATTATCTGAACCGGTCCTGGGCTTCCCCTAGGTTGACTCAGCCTCAAATGAGTACCTAGTGCAGTGTCAAACATCGCCACTAGGGATACAAAGGCGGCCGGGCGTGGTGTTGGCCACCCACCCCCTCGTGTGCCGTACCGGCCTTCATAGGTGCTGCTCGCTAACAGCACTTGCCCCAACAGACTGTTAAGGCTACACGGGAGATCTTTGTCTTTGCGCTATGCTACAAACCTGCCGAACTGGGTTCGATTTCTTCTCACGATCAACACCAGTGACAATTATCTGAACCTGGACTTCCTCTAGATCGACTCAGCCTCAAATGAGTACCTGGTGTGGTGTGTAAACATCGCCATTGGGGAGACCAAGGCGGTCGGGTGTGGTGCTGCCCATATATACCCCCCCTCCCCCATGTGCCGTGCCAACCTTCATAGGTGCTCACTAATAGCACTTGCCCCAACAAGTTGTGAAGGCTATACAGGGGGTCTTTGTGTGTGTGTCTTTGTGCTGTGTTAAGCTGTCTTGCTGCAGCAGGAGCACCAGTGCCCTCAAATGATTCATCATTGGTCTGAATGTGTTGGTTGATCGACACGAAACGACAGTGATGATGATGATGATGATTCATTGGTGCTTGCTTAACGGGACTTAGGCTCGACAGTCTGTAAATGGCTCTATGAGAATCTTTGTCTCTACAGGCAGCAACTACAGCGAGAAGTGCGACGTGTTCAGCTGGGGCATCATCCTGTGGGAAGTCATCACTCGCCGCAAGCCGTTTGACGAGATTGGAGGCCCCGCGTTCCGCATCATGTGGGCCGTGCACAACGGTACGTGTTTTGTCGAGGCTGCTGTTCCTTCTCTACTTCTGCTGAATTCGCGCGCACTGTGTATGTTACTGTCCACCTCGGTACGAAACTTGTCGAGCCTGCTGTTCCTTCTCTACCCCTACTAAATTCGCGCACACAGTGTATGTTACTGTCCACACGATCTTTTTTCGGCATCTTTAGATGCATTTTTATGTGGATGTGGTTTAAATTTTAAAAAATTGTATCGTGAATGTTGGGGCTTCATTGTGGGCAGAGTTTGGGGAGGGATCACGGGGTGGGGGAACTGCCTATTGCATTTTATACTTTACACTATTTTCCATTCCACCCGAATGCGTTATATAAATTGTTTTAAATGCCATTTAAAAATGTGTTCGCAGAAGCAATTCGATTTTCCATGAAGAATAACTGGGTATTAATAACTGCCGTGCCATTAGCGGTGGAGATGCTCAACGTGTGGGTCTTTGGCACAGATTTACTGCATATCAACATGGCCCTGAGCACTAGCATCTGCCAATGGGAGATAATAAACGAATTCTTGTAAAACAGTCAGTCTCGTGAAGGTTTGCAACTGCGCACCGACAACGAGGATGCGTTCACCGCGCTACGGTTTGACTTTTAACAGTGAGGGCTGTGTGCATCACTTCAGGAACCCGGCCCCCGCTCATTAAAAACCTGCCCAAGCCGATCGAGGGCCTCATGACGCGATGCTGGGACAAGGAGCCGGCACTCCGGCCCTCCATGGAGGAGATCGTGCGCATTATGATACACCTCATGAAGGTGCAATTTTGCCTGACCATGCACACCGCTCATCCGGGCATCAGTACCCCTGTGAACGTAACTCACCCAGGACACTAATATTCACACACGCACGCACACATCAACCGTCTAGATATTCATATACAACTGTATTCACACCCACACACTCTAAGCAAAGCACTCATGCGCTCATACATGCACATCGTTCATCTATATATTCACCACTCACCTATAATTTATTATTCATTTTGGTATTAAGTTAATCACTCACCCGGGCACTCAAACACAGATAAAGGACCTCCATATAGCCTTAACAGATTATTGGGACAAGTGCACAAAGGGGTGGTGTGGCCAGGACCACACCCAGCCGCCTTTTTCCCCCAAGTGGCGATGCTTTACACATCACACTAGGTACTCATTTGAGGCTGAATCGACCTAGGGGAAGCCCAGGGCTCGCTGCAGACAATCGTAACTGGTGTTGGCCATGAGCAGGACTCAAACTCAGGGTCGCTGGGGTTGAAGCGCAGCGCGCGATCCGCTACCACTAGCATGTACCACTCACCGGGGTGCTCTGTGGATATCCACTGAAGCACTTGCTGCGCTAAGACACGGGCTCATGTGGCGAATGCTGCCCACTCTTGTGCCGTGTGCCCAGTATTTCCCTGGAGCGGAGGAGCCCCTGCAGTACCCGAGCTACAGCTCCGACCTCAGCCAGAGCAACTCGGCCACGAGCACAGGTGCTTGCACAGAACATCAACGCGTGTTCCTTTTGCGGTGTATTTAAACGTCTTCGTGAAAGGTCATTTTGAATCCTTTGCCTCGTGGGCATTTGGGATTCATGGTTCCCAGTAGCGAGTTCACATAAACTCTACAAAGCTGTGGAGGCTGTTTATGGATGGTTTGATATTATATGTTTTAAATTAAAATACTATTTTAGTTTTACCAGGTAAGACCCACTGAGCTATATAGCTCTTTTTCATAAGTGACCTGGCTATCACAGATGAATGCTCAACGAAGTGGCTTATCATGTGGAAATTTATAGCAGCCCAATACACTTAAACGCATGTTTCTAAATATGGAGGGAAAAACCGGAGGACTCGGTGAAAAATCCACGGGGAGAGAGACATGCAAACTCCACGTATATAGGTGTCAGGGTCGGGATCTACGACCTGTATACCAGGCGAGGTAGTTAATATCTCGCCACCGTGGTGAGGCACCATTCAGACGATAAGCCTCAATTTCCATCTGATTATTCAGGTAGTTTTTATTTAAATCAAGGAATGTGGTGACACTCACCTCCGTTGGTGGCCCCGAGCCAGCGATGGCAAAGTCTCATTCTCATTGGATACCCAGTGTTGCATTCTTATAGTGATACCGGTGTTATCTCTTCTGTGCAATGGCAGACTAAGTCTGCCCCTGGGTTTCTTTTGATGGTGATTTAGTTTTGTCTTTTTTTCCTGGTACTGTGTTTTACTGCTACTGCTTCCACACATAAAATACTCTTTAAAGAATTGGCCAAATACTCCCTCCTGAAAGTGTATTGAGACACGGTGGGGCTCTCCTGGATAAATACACGAATGTCATCATCGTTATGATGTCATCATCGTTATGATGACATGTCTGGGCTGTTCCTATTGCTCACCGGGCGAGGCGCTCAGTGCTGCCGCTGCTGTCGTTGCCGACTGCTCCCCCCTCCACCCCTTCCTCCCGCCCCCCCCTCTCCACCATGCAGAGGTGATGTCGACGAACACCAGCAACAAGAGCGACGTCCAGGACCACGAGAGCCTCCCGTTCACTCTGAGCGACACCGTGCGGCGCCTTGAGTCGAAGCTCAAGCAGATCAAGGTGAGCCGGCCGAGTGTGCTGATGGGGGCGGGGGGGGGGCAATGACTCCCCTGGCTCTCACCGGGGCTGGCTGCAAACGGCGGGTAGGGGGGAGGGGGTGGTGGGGGGACAGCAGATTGATTTACGCTCGCACGGGTCTGTGGAAGCTCATAGCCTCAAATGTCATGTGCAAGCTTAGTCATCGTCTCAGCCATGATCGATCCACTGCTGGATGAAGGTTGGTAATTGGTTGGCTTACTATGGTGAACTCTTTTGGGGAAGGAATATCATCATCAGCCGTGATCTATCCACTGCTGGAAAAAGGAGGTTGATGGTTGGCAAGTGTGGTCCAATATCCATTTTTGGATGGTTTTTCAGCATCATCATCATACAATACAATGTGAATTTATATTGCATCTAAATGCAATTAAATCTAGATACGCTGTACCATCATAATCAGCATTGATCTGTACATTGCTGGATGAAGGCCTCCCCCATATCAAACACTGCTGTGTGGAAAGACGGAGCTGGGAAGCGCAAAGTGTGAAAACGACGACAATCCAGAGGCTCCAGTAATGGAGATAGTACTAGAGGTGGGACTAGAGGTGGGACTAGAGGTAGGACTAGAGGTGGGACTAGAGGTAGGACTAGAGATGGGACTAGAGGTAGGACTAGAGGTAGTACTAGAGGTGGGACTAGAGGTGGGACTAGAGGTGGGACTAGAGGTAGGACTAGAGGTAGGACTAGAGATGGGACTAGAGGTAGGACTAGAGGTAGGAATAGAGGTGGGACTAGAGGTGAGACTAGAGGTGGGACTAGAGGTGGGACTAGAGGTGGGACTAGAGGTAGGACTAGAGGTGGGACTAGAGGTGGGACTAGAGATGGGACTAGAGGTAGGACTAGAGGTAGTACTAGAGGTAGGACTAGAGGTGGGACTAGAGGTAGGACTAGAGGTAGGACTAGAGGTAGGACTAGAGGTAGGACTAGAGGTAGGACTAGAGGTGGGACTAGAGGTAGTACTAGAGGTAGGACTAGAGATGGGACTAGAGGTGGGACTAGAGGTAGTACTAGAGATGGGACTAGAGGTAGAACTAGAGGTGGGACTAGAGGTAGGACTAGAGGTAGAACTAGAGGTAGGTCTAGAGATGGGACTAGAGGTAGTACTAGAGATGGGACTAGAGGTAGTACTAGAGGTAGGACTAGAGGTAGGACTAGAGGTAGGACTAGAGATGGGACTAGAGACGGGACTAGAGATGGGACTAGAGGTAGGACTAGAGATGGGACTAGAGGTAGTACTAGAGGTAGGACTAGAGGTAGGACTAGAGGTAGGACTAGAGGTAGGACTAGAGGTAGGACTAGAGACGGGACTAGAGATGGGACTAGAGGTGGGACTAGAGGTAGGACTAGAGGTAGGACTAAAGGTGGGACTAGAGGTGGGACTAGAGGTGGGACTAGAGGTGGGACTAGAGGTAGGACTAGAGGTAGGACTAGAGGTGGGACTAGAGGTGGGACTAGAGGTAGGACTAGAGGTGGGACTAGAGGTGGGACTAGAGGTGGGACTAAAGGTAGGACTAGAGGTGGGACTAGAGGTAGTACTAGAGGTAGTACTAGAGGTAGGACTAGAGATGGGACTAGAGGTGGGAATAGAGGTAGGACTAGAGGTAGGACTAGAGGTAGTACTAGAGGTGGGACTAGAGGTGGGACTAGAGATGGGACTAGAGGTAGGACTAGAGGTGGGACTAGAGGTGGGACTAGAGATGGGACTAGAGGTAGGACTAGAGGTAGGACTAGAGGTGGGACTAGAGGTGGGACTAGAGATGGGACTAGAGAAAGGACTAGAGATAGGACTAGAGGTGGGAGGGACTAGAGGTGGGACTAGAGATGGGACTAGAGATAGGACTAGAGATGGGACTAGAGGTAGGACTAGAGGTAGGACTAGAGATGGTACTAGAGGACTAGAGGTGGGACTAGAGGTAGGACTAGAGGTAGGACTAGAGATGGGACTAGAGGTAGGACTAGAGGTAGGACTATAGATGGTACTAGAGGACTAGAGGTGGGACTAGAGGTAGGACTAGAGGTGGGACTAGAGGTGGGACTAGAGGTAGGACTAGAGGTAGGACTAGAGGTAGGACTAGAGGTAGGACTAGAGATGGGACTAGAGGTAGGAGGAGAGGTAGGAGGAGAGGTAGGAGGAGAGGTAGGAGGAGAGGTAGCATCCAGGGTAGAAAGTGTTGTGGTGTGGTTGGTGGTCAGTGGGGTTAGTCGTTAGGGCTATTGCTAGGGTTTGCTTGGTTGTCGTGAATACGGGAAGGGCTATATTATGGTCTCGTTGGTCATCGTAGTTAATTTTTGAGGCAGAGCTAAGCTCTGGGTAGCTTGTGTGGTTAGTGTAATAGGTAGGGCTAGGTTCTCATTCGCTTATAATAAATTACATTTTGTAAGGCGAATTTCATCCACACATACAAATGTGCCGTGTATGGAAAGCAGGAAATAAACAGAGAACCAGAGTAAGTGGCCAGAACCAGTGGGTGGGTAAAGGTCAATTTAAAGAGGTGAGTTTTCAAGACAGCAACAGCTCGGACGACTAATTGTCTTATTACAAAAGCGTTCCATATTCTGGGAGCTGCACTGGCAAAATCCCGATCACCTCAGGAGAACAGAGCCTTGTATGTATGTATGTTCAACTTCTGTTGCACTATACGTAGCCAACCATGCTAATCGGAGATGCGGGGTAAGGACAATAAAGCAAACAAAAAAAAACAGTTTGAAAGAAATGTGTTTTCAATCAATCAAGAGCCTTGACCTCAGAGTACTTCGAAGAAGGTGATCCGGAGATCTCAGAGACCTCTTTGGAGATCGTTTAATAAGTGTTATTTGCAGGGTTGTGATCAAATTTGCAAATGTGGTTAGAGTTTCAGTTGGAGCTCGTGTCAGGTTAACTAGCGTAGTTTGTATTCGACATACGGTTTGTTTCCGGTTGGCTGCTGCGGCTTAGGGGGTATGGTGATGGCCACTGCTGCAGCAGCGAGTGCCGCCGTGCGTCTGTGTTGCCGCAGGGCGAGGGCGGAGCGAAGCCGGGGCTGTCTCTGTCGCGTGGCTCCAGCGTCGAGTCCCTGGCGCACTCCCGCGCGGGAACGCCGGCCTTCGAGGGCCACCGCCTGAGCGCCGACTTTAGCACCCTCACCGAGCTCGAGGGCAAGATCCTGACGGGCGCCACATGTACGTACCTCGGGGGGGTGGCGGGTGGTGGGGGCGGGGGGGCAGGGGGGGTGGATGGTGAGGGCGGCCGCGGCCAATGTCTGCGTGGGGCACAGCCTCGACGGGAGGAGGGGGGGCCCTGCTCACGAGGCCGAGTTTTTTACGTCGTTCACTCGCAGGGCAGAGAGGGGATTTGCGTGGCACCACGCGGATACCCGTTGCTGCGGGGCATTCTGTTGCTGCGGGGCATGGGGTTTGTGTCGTCACCGAAAAGAGTTTGGAGTCTTAATTAAAATAAATGCAATCGAAAGGCCCAATGGCCGGTGAATGAGATTACGTTTATTTTTTAGGCTTCATGCAGATTAGCTTGCTTTTTTCCCTGCCGATAATAGTTTGCCCGAATGGCATTAAAAAAAAATGATTGAATAGTGGGTTGCATTAGGCTTGCCATTATTAATGCATCAAAACATAAGTTCCAAATCATGGTGAAAATAACACATTCGTCATCCACACTCTTGGCAAAATCCCGAATACCCTGCAAGGCCAACAGAGGGAGTGAGTGTTTATGTGTGCAGCAGTCTGATCTCAACACTCAAGCTCAACAGCTGGCAGTGTTGTCGTTTTTACGCTGTTTGGAAATAGCATTTCCTGCAGGAAGATTACTACTAATCTGGGTCATGTGTCTTCAGTATGCCGTGGTCTCCATGATCCCCCCGTAGGCCATACATACCGAAGACACAAAGTCCCGCACATTTGCAACCTATTACTCCTCTTCTAGATGTAAAGCTTTCGTGACTGCAAGGATCCATACTCTTTGGTTCTATTCGGTTTTGTTGTGTGTACAAATGTATTTTTTTCTTTAAACTCTAATCAGTTTCTATAGAAAAAATTACTTTCATTTTTTGATGATGAACTCAATTTACTGAACCTTCGGCTGATAAAGCCCTTTAGTTTGTGTTAAAACGTCGATCGACGCCTGCAGCCGAGCACCGGAGAATACGGAGGAAGTGTGAGGTGAAGAAGCGTGAAGGGGTGCTACCCCAAAATCTTAAACTAAACTAAAAACATTTTTTTTTATTTTACCAGGTAATGCCCACTGAGCTATGTAGCTCTTTTTCAGAAGCGACCTGGCTATCACAAATGATAGCTCAATGAAGTGGCTTGTCATCATCAGGTGGAAATTTATAGCAGCTAAATACTCAAAAGGCACGATTATAAATGTGGACCGGAAAACGGAAGGACCTGGAGAAAAATCCATGCGACCATGGGGAGAGAGACATGCAAACTCGAAATATACAGTGTCGGGATTGAACCCACGACCTCCTGTATACCAGGCGAGGGAGTTAATATCTCATATCCACCGTGGCACCCACTATTACATCCATTTTTGCGCAATGCAACTGACAACCACCATGCTCGTCCTATACAAAGACAGGTCTCGGACATAGAAACGTGGAACTTCCTTAACCGTGTCAGAGCAACGTGACGATGCTTAACATTTTTAAGTTTGAGCCACCAAATGGAATTACGACACCCTAAAGCATATTTGCTAAACTGCCTCTAAGGTATATTGTTGGTTCTTTCGGTAAAGTCACGTGACTTTACCGAAAGAACCAAGAATATGAATCCCTGCAGTCACGAAAGCTTTAAATCAAAATTTAACTGCCTCTAAGGTGTCAACAGTAGGCTAGGTATATGAAAATAATTTTCCGTTTTTGACTTTGGTAGCTAAAATAATCAAAATATAAGAGTCAAAACACATGTAGGAAATTACTAATATCCCTTGTTCCACTAACATACTAAACTCTGCAGGTCAGTGTTGTTTGCTTGCTAATAACCATAAAGACTACAGCAGTGTGCATCGCCACCATCTACATTTGTCAACATCTTATCGTTTTAATAACCGCATTATGTGTTTGATGACATTCCATTCGTACTACGTTGGCGGATACAAACGGCATTACCGTTGCATTTTTTACACCCAATATAGGAGTCGATTATCTGTTATTTAATGCAAAGTGAAGGTAACTGCCAAAAACTTGAGCCAATTAAAATGCTTATTTTTTTCATGTTCTGAATTTAAAGGGCACAAATGTGGTTATGTCTGGATAGCACTAGCACACAACCCTCGAGCTTACAGATTCGAACCTAAAGATCCACTGGCTGCACACTGTTGATCACTGTGTGCGATAGCGGTCACAAGGAGCACACCAAGAGAGTTCCCTGCATGGGAAAGCAACCATCGTTGCTTTACACCTCAGTGGAATCTTCCTTCCCGTGCCTCAGCTCTTCCACTTTGAATTCATTTTGGGTGTCTGTGTATAACACAACAATTTCTCTCGATTCCTCCCAAACCACTCGCATCAGTCACTTGAAAGGACGTGTCAATCAAAAAAACCTACAACCCCAATTAACGGTGGTTAGTCACCAGGTGCAGGCCATAGAGACCAACCTCAGTTTAACACGTAGGCTTGAGTGAGCAGTGTCCATAATAGACGGTTTTTTTGGGTTAGATCGTGTGAATATAAATGTGTCGTTAAACCCGCCAACACCCGACACAGCTAATTAGTAAGGTTTGTCACATAAACAACGAATTGGCGTGTTTTGCTTATGTGACAAACCTTACTAATTGGCTGTGTCGGGTGGTGGCGGGTTTAACGACACATTAATATTCACGCGACCTAATCCAAAAAAACCTCTATTAGAGACTTAACCTCGTGGCGGCTGCGATAGCTAAGCTCGGCGCGCAAGAGCGTTGTGCATGATGGTGACGGAGGAGCCATGCCACAAGAAGCGCGTTGGTGACACCAAAACCACGTCCAGTCCTTGCATCGTCAAACCATCCCTCCAACTAAACGGGCGTCGTGCGCACGTGCGTACACGGGCAATGTGAAGCACATCCTTCTCCGATAAATATGACGGAGAATATATTGAGCGGGCCCATTCGTGGGTGGGTAGAGCACTGGCGGGAAGGCTGGTGGGTTGCACATCGCTGTGTTCTGCTGCTGCTGCATGCCACGGTTATGTGTGACGTCTCCACAGCAGCATCGAGGCACAAACGGGGCCACCGAAAGACTGCCTCATTTGGTACCATCCTGGAGGCCTCTAGCATGGCACTCCCAGGTACTGCCTCTGCCTGGCCTGCCGTGCGGTGGTGGGGGTGAGGTGGTGGTTCGCCCGCCTCGCGTGTAATCTCGGTCTCCTTGCCTCACGCTTACTCATCGGTGGTGTGTGTTGGGCAGTAGTTTCTTGTGGCTCCAGTATGAGGAGGCAATGTACGATGCTTCACCTCTCCCAGTGGCAGGTGACACTTGTAGGCGATTTGGGAATTGTAATTTGAAGTCTGCATGTAATCATTCTCCAGTGCTGGGCTCTCGGCTAAGACGAGTTCGACTTGGGAAAGTCCAGTGCAACTGTCCAAAGGAGGTAGCACTGATGAAGCCTCTGCTGCCGTCTTGTAAAGTGTCAAGACTGCCTGCGCGTGTGTCACGTCAGAGGCTGTAAAACTTTGAGGGTGTTTTTTGTCGTTGTCGCTTTCTGGAGCCACAAGCCAGCAGCAGCATTCGTGTCAAATTGGCATGAAGCAGCCAAAACACTCAGCTGCGTCCTTTGATTCAACAGCAATGTCATGTCATGCCAGTGCAAATTTCTGCTCTTGGGGCATTTTGTTAAATGTTGGCTTCACAGAGAAGTGTGGAGTCCAGATTTGTTCTTGATGTTGTTGGAACGCCCCCCACAAGGCACACATGGCATTGTTGCATCTTTATGCCCGCGGTTGGTCTGTCCGCTCAGTTTGTTCTCCCAGTTCACTGCAACCTCTGCTGCCACCTTTGTTTTTTTTTTAATAAGAAGACACGTTCTTCGAGCCTCCCATTCCTCAGTGACTCGCAGCCTTGGCGTCATTACCCTTATTATGTGTGTCAGAATAAGGGTGACAATCTAATGCGGGAATGAGAAGAGGAAAAGCAGGAAGGGTGGAAACAGCACGCTGCAGCCCGACTTACTAATCCAGTTCCACGCACTCTCTGGACACACGCGTGCCCGAGCTGCGGCAGAATTTGTCAATCCCACATCGGCCTCTTCAGCCATCTTCGGACCCGCAGATAATCCAACTTTTCTCTGGAAGACAATCATCCTCGATTGCGAGGGATAGCCGATGATGACGATGATATGGCCTCCACACTTCAAATGTTTACCTCACAGCAGCACAGACTTTTCGATTTAAAGCTTTCGTGACTGCAAGGATTCATCTTCTTTGGTTCTTTCGGTAAAGTCACGTAGAATGAGAATAAAATAATAAAATAACACAATAAAATTCTCACGACGTTTCAGCCAAAGAAGATTTAGAACCCTGTTATAATGTCATTCTCAAGAATAGGCCATTGTCTGGTGCTGTCATAGTCCACTATAATATTGAAATTATCCTCAACATTAATTAAATACAAATATTTACCATAACAAATGTTACTACCCAAATTTTGTTTGCACAAACATAAATGACAAACGTAAGCTCCCTACTTGTTAAGCAACATTTAATTCAGCTCGAAGATATGATTGGTTAGAACATGTTTCAACAAATGCACATTATGTAGGCTTGACGGTTATGTAATTTCACAAATATATTGCACGTTTAAATGTGATAGTTGATAGCGGGACTGGCTGAATCGTTAACCCTACCTTTTAAAAATCAGTTCCACCCAACGTCATCTATTTAAATAACTGAATTGAATGTAAAATAAACCCAACTGTGAGTCACGAGACCAGGTGTTAATCCCCAACACTGCCAGTGCACAGCAAAATGCGGCACATTTGCATGAAGCGGTGTGCGAGCGTGTGCGTTGGGAATGGGCAGCTTTGTGGCGAGGTGCGGGTGTTACTGGAGCTGAGCGCACAGTGGTTGTGGTGAGGAATTTCGGTGAACAATCATAAGTGGACAGTCAGAGTCCACGCACTGCAGTCAGAATCACCGCTTTGTGGGAGAATCTTAAATGGGCACGCGTAACTTAAACGGACAATTTTTTTTGACCGCTTCAAGTTAAAAAAGAAACCCCCAAAGGTGACGTGCGGTGGTGCTTTTGCGGACGATTGATCTGATCCTGTGTGCTAATTATGATTCTCTTCAATGCGTTATGTGCTGTCCCCTTACATGTGTACTGTCTGGTTTCATAAACACATCTTCTTATGTTAGGGGAGGCTTGAAAGTAATTCCTGTTATCTAGGGGTGCAGGGCCACCGAGGAACTTATACGCCCGAGTATTTTCACCGAGAGCACAGCTTGATTCCTGCGACAGCTGCCCTGTAAATGGAATTTTGAGGAATTACTTTTCTAAACTCGATGTTAAAAGATTACAATAAATCGTCAGACGCCATACCAAACGTCGAACTTGAAAACGATCAGCTGACAAATGATAAAATCATCTGATTAATTACTACGCCCACCAAACTGCAGTAACCTCGCAGCCCAATCTGTCCAAGCAGCCTGAAATGTCTCGCAGTGTGGCCTCTTGAATATTGATTCACTAGTAAGTGGAGCCACACTGCGCTGTAAACCCAAATACCTGGGCTTTGCTTCCTGACCACGACTCGCATCAGTGGCAAGTGAAATCTGAAACCCCTCCCGCCTCCCCCGCCCCCCGCCCACTCCGCCCCCCCCCCCGCCCACTCCGCCCCCCCCCCCCCGCCCACTCCGCCTCCCCCCCCGCCCACCCCGCCCCGCCCACTCCGCCCCGCCCACTCCCCCCCCCCGCCCACTCCGCCCCCCCTCCCGCCCACTCCGCCTCCCCCCCCCGCCCACCCCGCCCACTCCGATAGAACTTCCAGTCACTGAGAAGTTTAACATTTGTGTCACATTTGTCTACGCATGCGTGCGTGTGTGTGCATGAAATATAATGATTTTTTTCTAATTATTTCCGATTGCAGGATTCACCTAAGGTTTGATCTGTAACGTTCACAAAATCCCTCAATGCCTCACACCTGGGAAGGTTGATTCTTGATTCTGCCTTCAATCAAGCATCTTTCAGTGCATTGAGTGCTGCTTTGGGGAAGCGGTGTTGTGTCAAATGTCCACATTCATAATATAATTTTTTGCTTTACTCCTAAAGCAAGACAATTGTGTCCATTTATACTTTAGAGCAAATAACTATGTAAACCTCATGGCGGTATCCCCCCGGGGGGTACGTACCATGGTACCCCGGCTCTCGCGTAGTCTCCGTGATGCACTCGTGAAGAGTCTGTTGATGGTCGGCGACGCGGCAATCGACTCATCTCGACGAGCTGTACTCACGATGCACCACCATGGTGCGTACGAGCGTTCAGGGTTTCAGCGCAATCGTTTTCGCGGCGTTTCGACATAGCGGAGTAGCACTGATTTCGGATTGATTGGTACCCCAGTCACGGAGTGAAGTAACACCCCTGGAAAAAAGTGTCCTAGAAATAAATTATTTCATTGCCTCGGCCAGTTTGTATTATTTGGTACCCCGGGGTACCGCCATAAGGATCATTTGTGTGTGTGTGTGCACATATTATTTGGATGTTAAATAAATGGGTTAAATAGTCATGTAATGATGCATCGATTAATAGATCCAAATAAATTGGAAGGCTCACGAAACGTGCGGCCGGATCACTTTTGTGAGCATCGGTCGTTTGCAATTTCTGCAAATTGTCTGTTACAATACACACTGCAGACGATAAAAACAATAAATACATAAAAATCCATCTACGATTGGAACCTTGACTCCCAAAACATGCCAACATATTGGATCGCTGACGAGTGAATTGTTACATGCTTATTCTTGACATTTTATATATATTTTAAATAATATGTAAATTTACTAATGCATGAAGTGTTAAGCTCAAAATGAGTCCTTGAATTCGCCATAACTTGACACAGACTGATGAATGTGGCAGCTGTGTGTGAGGCACAGGTAGAGGAGTGCATAGTTAATTGCATTATTAAGTATCGATATAATGTATGAACTTCTTTAGCACCGTATGTAGCCAACCGTGCTAATTGGGAGGTGATCACGACCCCACGCATCACCTCGGACACACTGAGACCAGGCCACCACGAGAGGCTCCAGGGGCCGCAAGTTGCCCACAACTCTGCTAGTCCATGTTGCTCGTTGCCAGCAATTAATGTATCGATGCGGTAAAGAATGGCATTGCCAGCCTTTCGGCTGTGTGCTGGCATGTTGGCGACCAGCGATCGGCGGAGCTTTTTGGTGTAAATCCCAGGAAACATTAGCCACGTTCTTCTTCGGCAAGTGCATTCTGCACGTTGCAAAGAATTAAAATTGTTAGAACTTTCAATATTAATATTTAAAGCTTAAAACGGCCGTGTGGCTCAAGGGGCTAATGCCCATGCCAGATTACTCGGTCAGTATCGCGGAGAATTTGGCAGCCACCAGCCCAACAAAGGTGCAGTGCATCTGTTTTACCATACAAAATTATTAGATATTTTTTATATCGCAAATCATTATTACTACTGCCTTATAACGTATTCATATCGCCAAAAACGTCGGCATCAAAGGCAGTGTTTGATTTGTCCTTTTGCACCACTGCCAACGCAGTCCCCTCCCCCCTTTTTAAGGACATCAGTTCGATTTAAGTTGCCCGTGATCAGTGTTCTTGGCCTAATTTTTGGAATACAGGAAAAGAGCAAACCACTTGTTTGCACGGCTAAGGGTACGGATTAGTGGTTGAGTAGGCTCGATCTTTGAAGGAATGCATTGTTTGAAGTGCTGCCATGATTTAACTGTTATTTTACAACATTGCACTTGGCTATATCGTCTAATGGCATTACAGTAATTTGTGAAAAATTGATAAAACACCAACATTTATTTTTTTGCCTATTTTTGCGTGGCCTGCTGTGTGGGTTAACTAACGCGCAATTAGGTGTTGTCATGCTGCGCCCTGTTATGACATGTATTTGACCGTGACGCTGTGTGCTGTGTGCTGTGTGACGCCTCCCCCTGTCTCCTCTGCATGCTGCATGCACGGCGCGTGCTCTGTGTCTGTCGCACGCACGGCCACACGTATCCCGACTGTTGTGCGCCGTACGTTTTGCGTTCCGCGTGTGCCTTCCGCTGCGTGTTGTTGTTATCCTCGACGTGCCGCATCCCGACCGCCACCTTGCGTGTCACGCGTTGTGTGCACGTGGTGTGTCCTGCGTACGTGCGTGTTGCATGCCGTGACCCCACGTGCCCCTTGTGCGCCATGTGTCCTGCCTGTGGTGCGTGCCGCTTGCCTTGCTTCATGTGCTGTACGTGCGCGCCCCCTCTGTGCGCCTTTTGTGCTGCGTGTGCCGCTCAACGATGCTCCTCCGTGCATCCCTCGCATGTGTAATGCGCCACGCGTGCCTCCGCGAGCACGCTTGCACCGCCCCGCTGTGCATTGCGTGCTTCACGCGCAATTCTCTCTCGTGTCCTGCACCGCTTGCCGTCCTGCGTGCGCGACCCCTTGTGCGACCCCTTGTGCGCCACGTGTCCCCACCCCGCGTGCGTGCCGTGTCCGGGTCCGCTCTCTCTTTGCCCGCTTTCAGCATCGACAGATCAGTGGCGGCGCTCGGTGCAAGACCTCCCTACGCTGGGGCCCGATTCCAACCAGGTGCCGCTCTCGCTCGCCGTCACACGTAGTAGGAGGGCAGCTGCCGCATCGCCCAGACGGCTTCTTTCCTCTTGATAGTCTGTGTGCCCGGAACGGAACGCGGAGCCGACGGAAGGCGATTAAAAAATAATAAACCACGACCTGCACCGTGCAGGTCGTGGGAGGGTTATTTGAGTATACCTTCACCACACCGGTCAGTGTGGCTTAGGGGGCGGGGGCATAGGCACATGAGCACGGAGGTCTCATTCTTTCGGAAGGAAATATGACATTTTGGAACGTTATATGTGTGTATATCGAGGTTATCGAGCCACTTAATAGCCAGTGTGGAGGTTTGGTAGATGTTGGTGATATTGCCCATGAATCGGGCAATGTCATACTGTACGAAAGTACAGTACAACAATGAATTATTCTGCACTGTCCTCTGCTTCCCACGACATGGCTCTGAAGTCCCAAATGATGACCTGTGCACGGTCCAAGCTCGGCTGCATTTAGCTTCCGTGTAGTGACGACATGAGGTGCAATCAGGGTGATTGGGTCATTGGGCAGTGAGACTTTAGTGATACATATTATTTATATCGTTATTCTATTGTAAAAGACAGTAATCACGTTGTCACCGGTTGTCTCTTCCGTAGTCGTCTACGATTTTAGCACCTGCGTTTGATCACGTCGGGTGGTAACGACAAATGGTCACTGATTTTCCGAGCATCTGCAGTTAATTTTTTGTTACATTCAATTATCTATGCGTTGCATGTGTATTTCCTCAGACTAATACTCTGCAGATAGTGAGGAAACCTATGTGGTCTTTTATTTTATTTGCCTGTAATTATCATCAGCGTGTTGTTGCTGATGCTTTTTAGGCAACACGCTGAGCAAACAGATTTTCCTCTGTTACATTACTTCAAATTAATATCTTGTGAGTTCAGGTCAATTGGCACATTCAGAGACATTTTTGCAAATGTGTCACCACACTCAAATATCTGGCTGTGTGGTAGTCTGTCTGCACCTTACCGTGTCTGTGAGTGTAGCTGTCTGCATCTTCCCAGTTGTCCCTGGCTATGTGTGATGCTGCGTATCACTTGTCCGACTGCACGAGGCTGTATTCACCTGTCTGACTGTGTGACCGAGTAAGGCTGTATTCATCTGATCGTCTGCATCTGCCTGTGATACCATACCTGTCAACCTAATGAATCTCAACGTTCATCCTACAAAGTCCCATCACAAGGGAGAAACACAAACAAGTAGAAGAAAATGTTTTGTTTGCCCGTATTGAAACGGCTGTACGCCGCATGGACTTGAAAACTAAATTTCCCTGTACAAGAATATGGGTAAACCATATGGGTTGACAGGTGTGTGAAACCGTTATCACGTGACCATACCCCGTGCCCATTCTGGGTCCGCATGGCACTCCTCGTCTACTCTAGGGGAGTCGCAGCAGCAGCCGATCGTCAAGTCCGGGCGTGCGCATGATCACAGGCGGCGTGGGGGCACGCAGCATCCCCAACACGCCCGACGACTATACAGGTCAGGGCCCACTCACAGGGAGACGCAGTCCACCGAACGACGGTTCCGCTAGACACTGGGGTCGTTCATATTGTTTTTGTCTCTTACAATTATTGATAACCAGTTTAACACATAGTAGCAAGCTTTCGCGACCAATATTATACATAGAGGTTTTTAGGTTAGATCGGGTGAATATAAATGTGTCGTTAAACCCTTCACCACCCGACAAAGCCAATTAGTAAGCTTTGTCACGTAAACAAGACATGCCAATTCGTTACTAGTTCAGCACACCAGTGTGTTGGAGATTAAACCCACATCATTTGCCATTCGACTACCATGACGTTTCGCTGGTAATTACAACAACCAGCATCATCAGGCGACGGCCAGAGTTGTGGAGAAACCCTCCTCCCGTTTCAGTCCTATTATTGATAACAGTGTGCAAAAGTGGCACTTATTTTTCATATAAACCTTGAAGGCGCAATGGGCCGAGTTGACCATCAGTCAGGCTCTGAAGCGGCGTGCTGTGGCAAGGGCGCTGCGCGGGGCTGTATTCCCCGATGCGACGGGTGGCTAAACGCATTGTGGTTTCCATTGCAGACACCATGGGCTCCGATAACTCCATCCCCATGGCCTACCTCACCCTGGACCATCAGCTGCAGGTGAGGGCGGTGCGTTCCCGGTCCCGCGGGGCAGGGCAGGCGGTGCCGACGCTTGCACGGATTTAACACGGTTCTTTTGGTATTATGACGGATGTTGTGCTTTTAGCGTGAGAAGATACAGCAGTTTAACACGTAGTCGAGCTTTTCAGACTATATTATCCGTAATAGAAGTTTTTGGGGTTAGATCGCGTAAATATAAATGTGTCATTAAATCCGCCCACCACCCAACACAGCCAATTAGTAAGGTTTGTCACGTAAGTACTCGAATTGCAAATGTTGTGGGTTTACTCTCCAACACACCGGTGTGCTGGACTAGTAACGAATTGGCATGTCTTGTTTATGTGACAAATCTTACTAATTGGTTGTCAGGTAGTGGCGGGTTTAACAGCACATTTATATGTACGCGATCTAACTTAAAAGCCTCTCTTTTATGAAAAGATACAGCAGGCTTAACATGCGTACTACTTGCCAAAATAAAGCCAATTTCCAGAAAAAAAACATTGGCCAAAGGGCCTGGTCTAAAACCTAAGCAATGATGTATTCCATGCAGCCAGGACTATCACTATAGCTTGTGTGTGGCTGGGCATAAGCACAACTGTGTACGCCACACTACCCCGATGGGTACCAAGCTCCAGAGCTAAATGCAGCATCAATGAATAGCCAAGCACATTGGCGCTTCCCTGTTCTCCGTCACCCATCATCCTCCTCGCTTAGCTAAGCTACGCATTATTCACTGTGCTCAGCGTGCTGCCACCCACGTTCTGACTCGGGGGACTCCAGGCTAATAGAATAGCAACGTGTGTGTGTGTGTCCAGCCTCTGGCTCCATGTCCAACCTCCAAGGAGTCGATGGCAGTCTTCCAGCAGCACTGCAAGATGGCCCAGGAGTACCTCAAGGTGCAGACGGAGATCGCCCTGTTGATGCAGCGCAAGTGAGTGCCTTGACCGATGCCACCGTGGTCCACAAGGGAATTCCCCACGCGCGGTCTACCTGCCACTACCACGGCCCCCACCAGAGCGCATTTGGGCAAAGCTCCTCATGGACTTCCTCAGTGGATTGTGCGCAATGAATTATAAACTAATTCATGGCATTCTTAAAAAAAACGTGGAAGTTTTGACCATACAGTGACATCACTGATATTCATTATGACAATGCAGTGTCATTACTGAGTGCCAGAGTAATGCACTTTCCTTTTTTTTTTATCATGTTTTGTCTATCATTTCTGAAGCGTCAAATTCCCTTTGGAAATCCATAGACGGACAGTCTGGCGTCATGTTTACGATATAATGGCTATTTGGGTCACGTCTTCATTCCAAATAAAATCAAACAAATGGGAATGTAATTGACGTAAAGTTACCCAGCCCGCTGTTGTGCCCGTGAAGGCCAGGCCGCGGGCGTTTCTCACACGTCCTGGCGTCCGTGGTGACGTGGTGCCGTGGTGCGGCTCGGCATCTGCAGGCAGGAGCTGGTGGCTGAGCTGGAACAGGACGAGAAGGAGCAGCAGAACGCGTCACGGCTCGTGCAGGAGTACAAGAAGCTGATGGAGGAGACCAAGAGCCTCTCCAGCTACCATCACAAGTGCAAGGCGCAGCTGGAGCGCATCCGCGTGCAGCAGCAGCAGAAGAGGCAGGGCTCCTCCTGAAAGCGGGCACAGCCCCAGTGCTTTTCGACAGCTGCGTGCCACGTTTCCCCGCTGAAGCTCATTCATTTGACGTGGAAACCCCACCTGTCCCCCCCGCCCATGCGTATTCGGCTCTCTCGTCAAATGACTGGGTGCCGCTCATGTGGATGTTGACCTGGTGTTGAGCAAAAAGAGCTGAGAGGGGGGTGGGGGATGGGGACGCTCTCTGGCTCACAAGGGGTGACTTTTTCAAGTCGCCAATCAACACACACGATGGAACACGCCCAAGGGATACAAAAAAACGTTAAATTCCCAATGGACTTTTACTGTGTTCAGGATAGGATGATTATTTTAATGAGATACGCGTTGATGCAAACTTATAGCCGAACAAGCACGTGCATTTAAGTGTACAGTTTGTAAGAAAATTGTAACTTGTTTGTACGTATGTTGAACTTCTTTCGCATTCCGTACATAGCCAACTGCAAAATCATAGGCGCAAGGGAAGGACGACAAATTGGAGATGCAGTCACGTAGCAAATCTCAGTGTTGGAATGCAGTGCTTACACCTAATAACTCGAATAGTAGTTCACGTGCTTTAGAAAACAATGCAAAGCGTGCACTCTGGTGGCAAGTCGTGGGTCCTTTTCAAATTACACACATGTGTCGAGATTAAATAGGTTCGACTGCATGTTGGGAAAACCCATAAAGCCACGTATAAACACAGTGGCCGTCCTAGATAATTAAGGCTGAACGCGCCAGGTGGCATTAAAGGAAAAAAAATAACGAGTTATCTTGGTTCCATTCTTCTTAAGGCGAATTGGTACACTATGGCCATGCTTTTACAGTATTTCAGCTTAGGGAAGTAGTTGATATTTGTTCATGGGCAATAGTTGAATGTCGCAACTGTACGGCTTGGCACAAAAGCTTCCGCTGCCTCGGGCAATCATTGACAATGTACATACAGTAATGCGAGGCTATAAGATGGTACTATAAAGTGGGTTGTCCAGTCACCTAACCTGATGTATTCACTGGAGATGCATTCGAGTGTTCGTGACCGAAACAATTAGTGATGGATTTGTCCGGTTTAAACGGCCAGTACGTTTGTAGAATTTTAGCGGATGTGTGCAATTTTAGGGAAGCCTCCACATTTGGTCAAAGTCACGTGGCTGTCACACGATTAATAAACAATAAGATGGTTCACGCTTTGTATAGTTGTGTATTGGCCGGGTGGTTCCGTGCACCCCCTTCCCCTGCCGAGTGCTCCGACTCAAAATGAAAAGGTTTGGTTTAGCACCTTTGGGCGGGGGGTGGTGTCAAAACGGAAATCTGAAAACATTTTGTGAATTCTGTGTGAGTGGGAGGTTTTCCTTCGCGGCTGAAGACCACCGGGGCTCGCGTGTCTGGCCGAGACGGCGCCACACACTCTCATACCCGTCAACCCCTACCTTATTACAGACCAATTCAGACCCTTATTGGTCACCCCATGCCCCTTATAAATCTCAGCGTTCATGCTTCAAAGTCCCATCACAAGGGAGAAACACAAAAAATAGACAAACATTGTTGCCCTTACTGAATCGGCTGTACGCTGTATGGACCTGAAAACTCAATTTCCCTGTACAAGAATTCAGGTAAACCGTATGGCTTGAGAGGTACGCACGCTTTTGGCTGCTGTGACGTTACTCGCTCCTTGCCTATTCTTGCTTTATCCTAAAACTAAACAATTTTATTTTACCAGGTAAGACCCCCATTGAGCTGTATAGCTCTTTTTTTCAGAAACGACCTGGCTATCGCAATGAGAGCCCAATAAAGTGGCTTCTCGTGTGGAAATGTATAGCAGCCAAATACTCTTAAACGCGTGATGTTGATTCTCAATGTGGAGGGAAAACCCGGAGGACCCGGAGAAAAATGCACGCGACCACGGGGAGAGCATGCAAACTCCAAATATAGAGCATGCGTAAGGGTGTGGATCAAACCCACGACCTCATGTGTACCAGGCGAGGTGGTTAACATCTCTATCCATCGTCTTTCCTCTCAGATCCCCATTGCATCCTTTTATCCTTTCTCTGTCATTTTATTTGTGTTACGTTTTTTTTTATTTTCACCTCGCTGGTTTCTGTCGCTCACTTCTCGCCTCCCCCACTGGGCCCCCGCACCTCTGCCCCCAGTGGTGGGCTTGGGCCTCTTCACCTCATCTTGCTTCTACAACATCAACCAGGCGACTCGCGTACAGCATCCTCATCAACATCGTCACTGTCAACATCATCACCATCAACTCACGACAGCATAGGAATGATGAAAAAAACAATAGGCTTTAGAACCCCTTTCCGGCAATAATAATAATACGGGGGGTGTTCATGTTCAAACCAAATACCTAATGCACGGCATCGAGTCTGCATTAACCACACGCACTTGTGGTAAAACAGGGAAACGAACATGCTTCGATAATGTATGCATTTTATTTGAAATGTATTAACCTATACCAGAGAGACTCGTTTGTGGCCTTGCCTCGCTACTGGTGTTCGACCGGAGAACAACGCCAAAAGCCGAACAGCACAAATGTTATGCAAATATCGAGGCATGAATATCTCGAGTTGGGTCAGCCTTTTTTTTCATAATCTTGATACCTGTAAAAAATGGCCCATAGCGTAATAATAAACAATTTCTAAGGGGCACATATTTCGCAAATTGGCCGCATTGTTCGATCACAGGCAGAGAACAAAGTCCGTCGTGTGCCAGCCTGAAAAGGTGAGAGAGCGTGAACAGGTGATGTAGCAACTGGAATCGAGGACTTACCAACCTTGATGGGAGTATCTTCTGTCGCAGTGGTGTGATGCGAACTGCTGTCGAGCTGTGCCACTGATGGGCAAAATCATACTCAATGCATTCAATTAAAAGCTTGTGGTTTAATATGTAAAAAAAGAGGGGCAGATGTCGAGGCCAACTCATGCGAGAATGGAGCCAGTCGATGAAGGCTAGGATGTCAGTGATCGTGTTGACTCGTGCAGTGCAGTAGAATGCGCTGGTGGGTAGGCAGGCCGTAGAGGGCAGAAGTCTGGGAGATGGGATGATTTGATCTTTGATTGTGGCAAGGGTGAGGCACTCTAGTTAGGAGATGGTTGATTTAAAAAAACATACTTTTTTATTTTACGATAAAACTTTCAACTACTTTTATTTTTTGATTTAAAGCTTTCGTGACTGCAGTAATTCATATTCTTAGTTTTTTCGGTAAAGTCACGTAAAGCCCCACTGAGTTATATAGCTCTTTTTCAGAAGCTACCTGGCCACAAAGGGTAGCGCAACGAATTGGCTTATCACGTGGAAATTTATATTAGCTAAATACTCTAAACACATGCTTCTAAGTGTGGAGGGAAAACCCAGATGACCCTGAAAAAAATCCACACAACTACGGGGAGAGAGAGACATGCAAATTCCAAATATACAGGCATCAGGGTCGGGATCGAACCCACGCCCTCCTATATACTCGGCGGGGTAGTTGGTAATTTGGTAGTAATCTAGATTTGAAACATTCGTGACTGCAGGAATCCATACTCTTTGTGTTTTTTCTTGCTGTGGTTTTCCCACCTAATGATGATTGCTTGTGTTGCAATCGAAACGTCGTGATTTATTTTATTTTATACCTATGTAACTTTACCGAAAGAACCAAATAATTTAGTAGTAGGTTGGACACGCTTAGTGTGACATTTTTGTGAAGGCTTCGAGTTGGAGGTTGAGAATAAAACGGAACCTATCTGGAAAAAGCCTCCAAATCTATCGTGTGCATGCATGACATCAACGTCCACTGCTGTACTATCTTTAAAACTATTAAATGTGCAGCCACCGAACTGGATATGAGCTCTACAGTTCGGATGTACGACAATGATGCCAGCGCTGACCATCATATTGATATTCATCTCATCTCCGAGACCTGGACCAAGGTCCGTTTTCCACCAGCCGTCACTTCCCAAGGTGCCCCCTGAGATTACAGAGTTCCCTCACACTGCATGCGCGGCCAACCACCATGGCAGTATACTAGCCGCTGTACCAAGTGCACACTTCACGATAAAACCTTGCCAATTTTCACGTTCGCCACCTTCAACTTCGAGGTCCAAGTGGGTATCTCTCATCACCGGAACTAACACAGCTTTTCCCTCATCCTAATCTCCCACCCCGCCAAACACATTCATCAGCTTCCATCAATACATTTTCGGGCCCAACTTTGCCATCTCCCCGACGTGACCCATCGGCGTTCGCAGGCGATTTCAACCACCATTAGCAGCCGCCCTCCATAGGTGGCTCTGGCCAAGTCACGACTCGGTAATCGCCAACGCTGGCCCAGCGCGAATATCTTCCAAAGGTGCGGAGAGCGGCACACTCGACCTCCTCCTTGATCGTTACCTCGGCCCCTATTGCCTCTCTCCACCTTATCGCCACTTTTCTTCAATTATACCCAGACCTCTCAATCACTGAGTGGCGAATGGCAGTTGTTGTGTTAACTCATATGGGGAGCAGTAGTGCAGCGGTCAGCGTGCCGCGCTTCGAACCTGGCGACCCAAGTTCGATTCCCGCTTACGGCCAACACTAGTGACGAATATCTGAACCGGTCCTGGGCCTCTCCTAGGTCAACTCAGCCTCAAGTGAGTACCTGGAGACAAAGGTGGCTGGGCGTGGTGCTGGCCGCCCACCCCCTTAGTGCGCCGAGCCGGCGCACATTTAAAATCCGGTCCTTGCTTAACGCGCGGTGTTCACAACACGTTTTCGCTATAACGCGGTTCTTCCATTAGGGAACACTTTGAACACAAAGCGCCCGTTATAACGCGGTTTCTGAGCGGTCGACGGAGCTGCAATGTTGTCTGTGTGGATTGAGGGGGGTGAGGGGGGCACTGTTGGCCTGTAACCCAGTTGGCACCTCCTGGCGGGCGCCTCCTGGTGGGCACCTCCTGGCGGGCCCCGCGGGTCACTGCGCCGGGCCCCCTGGGCAATGAGAGACGCACAGGTGAACACTTGCGCAGGTTAACACACGGGTGAATATATTTATACACACACGCGTATGTTTTACACATGAGTTCACAAATGAGTTAACACAAATATCCCCCGTTTAACCTGTAACAGACTGTTGGGGCAAGTACTGTTAGCGAGGAGCACCTATGAAGGCCGGCACGGCACACGTGGGTGGACTCGTTTTCAAGTTTAAAGTTTCATTTATTAGGTATAGCCCTGTGAGCCATGCAGCTCTTAAGTCTGGTGTAACCGCAACAAACAAAATTTGAACACAGAACATCTTAAAGCGACAACGCGTAACAGAAACATCCTGGAATAAACCAGCAAATATTCCACACACAAAAAAAAACTTATTAAAACGCTGTGTGCAAAAATCAATGTGGTGCAAGCCAACAACAACAACCATAAGACAATTTAGATTAAACATATGTTTTCGAATCACCAAAATAAAGCTATAAAAACAATGTAACAACAGTAATCATAGGAACTGTGATTTTAAATTTAACAATAAACGATATACATAACACGTACAAAAAACTGCAGCCATAGCTGGCAGCACGACACTCCCAGTGTATGATGTGTGTGAGTCAGCAGCAGCATGGGTGAGCGTATGATGTGCGAGTCAGCGTATGATGTGCGAGTCAGCGTATGATGTGCGAGTCAGTATTAGGTTGAGTGAGTGTATGATGTGTGAGCGAGTCAGCGGCAGTGTGAGTGTATGATGTGCGAGTGAGCCAGCACATGATGAGTGAGCCTGTGTATGATGAGTGAATGGGTCAGTGGTTGTGCGAGTGTATGATGTGTGAGTCAGTGCATGGTGTGAGTGAGTCAGTGCATGATGTATGAGTCAGTGCATGATGTATGAGTCAGTGCATGATGAGCGAGTCAGTGCATGTGTGAGTGAGTGCATGGTGTGAGTGAGTCAGTGCATGATGTGTGAGTCAGTGTATGATGTGTGAGTGAGTCAGTGTATGATGTGTGAGTGAGTCAGTGTATGGTGTGAGTGAGTCAGTGCATGATGTGTGAGTGAGTCAGTGTATGATGTGTGAGTGAGTCAGTGCATGATGTGTGAGTGAGTCAGTGTCGGCTCCCTCTGCTCGCGCCGTCGGCCCCCCCCTGGCCCCCCCGGCTCCATCGGCCCCCTCACAAACGGCCCCCACCAGCCGCTGCTTGCAACCACGCCCGACCGCCTTTGTCTCCCCAGTGGCGATGTTTACACACCGTACCTTTACGTGCCCCGAGGCCACTTTGTAGCAACATCAACAAGCCAACAATTCGCCTCCCGCTGCTGAACATTTGTGTTTTTACACATCCCATCAGCCACAACCGCCTTCTTGCGGAGTGCACAATTTCAGCAGCATTGGTTCAACGCATAAGCAACCAAGGCAAAACCCTGGGCCGCATTCGACATTCAGCGTCTTATCAGTAGCACGGTCAGGGTTGCTTGGACCAATGGGTGACCTACCCATGTGAGATAAACGTCCAGATTCTAGCGCAGGAGGCTGTTCAGCTGAGTGGACTTGCCGATGACCGGTACCAGCGGTGTTGTGATCGGCCTCTGTGGAGGAGGAGGTTCGTGAAGGACGCCGCCGCTGCTGCTGCTGGGCAGTTGGAGGCAGTCGTCCTCCAGCAACAAGGGGAGGGCAGAAGAGCGACGCTCACACCATCGAGCGGATCGCCAGGGCGGATAAAACGCAGAGAGTTGGCAGAGTGGGGAGCCACAGGTGGTGCATCTGCCAGTCATTTCGGCCAGTCAACCCATGGCACCTGCTGAGTCTGTTCTGTGACCTGCCAGCAGTCACAGCTGTCAACCCATACAGTTTACCCGTATTCTTGTGTACAGGGTAATTGAGTTTTCAGGTCAATACGGCGTTCAGCCATTTCAATACGGGAAAAAAAAATGTTTTATCTGTTTGTGTTTCTTCCTTGTGATGGGACTGTCGGATGAACGTGGAGATTTATAAGGGACACGGGGTGATCAAGAAGGTCTGAATTGGTCTGAAATAAGGTAGGGCACTGATAAGGGGTTGGCAGGTATGCAAAGTGCACCTAGCCTGGCACAGACGAAGTGGTGACGTGGCCCCCACTTAGTGGCGAGCGGCGGCTGCTGTTGTTGTTGGTTCGCCGCGAAACTCTACAGGGAGACTCCACGGGCAACGCGACATCATCATCATCACGGTGCCCGGACGCAAAATGGCCGGAACCACATTTAGCGGCGACGCACGGCGCACGGACCGAGTCCGCCGAGCTCCGGTCCCCCAGTGGGGGCAGATTCACAACTCTCTCGCAGCGCCACCGCTAAGCGCGGGGTTTTTGTTCCACCCCCACCACCACCACATTTCTGCTCCTGTTGCGCGTTACCGAGGCTGTTGTCGTGCAACTGTCGCATCTCTTCGCCGCCTTGATAGCGCCGAACTTGCCGTCTCCTGTCGCGCTGGCGGGACGCGGGGAGGATGAACCCCACGGGGCCCCCGGCCACCTCGGGCCCCTCGGTCCTCACCCCGCGGCGGGGAGGCTGGGGAGGCTGGGCGGGTTCGGGCAGGCGGTGATCGGGCCCCCGGGCTCGGGAAAGACCACGTACTGCGGCGCAGTGCAGAGGCTCCTGGCCACGGAGCTCGGCCGCCCCGTCGCCGTGATCAACCTGGACCCGGCCAACGACAGCCTCCCCTACAGGCAAGACAGCAGCAGCGACACCAGCAGTGGCTGCGGCTAAAGTAACAGTAGCAGCGACACCAGCAGTGGCTGCGGCTGCAGCAGCAGTAGCAGCGACACCAGCAGCGGCTGCAGTAACAGTAGCAGCGACACCAGCAGCGGCTGCAGTAACAGTAGCAGCGACACCAGCAGCAGCGACACCAGCAGCAGCGACAGCGGCTGCGGCAGTAGTGACAGCGGCTGCGGCAGCAGCGGCAGGGTCCAGTCGGGCAGTGGTTCTCTCAACCTTTTCTTGGCGACTGGGACAGTGGCTGCAATGATGATGGGCGGACCTGCCGATGACCTGTACCAGAATTGTGTTTCAACCCCGTAACCGCCCTTGCCCGACTCAACGTGTTTCTGATAAATATAATTGTACGAATAGTGAACAGCAACATTTTAACTAATTGTCCATTTTTGTGAGGTTATCCTGACTAGCTTGTGGTAATTGCAAGCGAATACATAAACATTCAACGGACGCTCTGCACGCGTGCACGCTGATTACTCTTGGAAACCGGCATTGATTACGATAAATCATTTCAGAAAGGTATTTTATATCCTTGGTTCTTTCGGTAAAGTCACGTAGAAGGGAAACAATAAAATAATAAAAATATAAAACAATAAAGTTCTCACGACGTTTCGACTGCAACTCAATCGAGAGGGCAACATCTTTGGTGACCTGGAAGCAATGCTATTTGTAATCTGAGCTCTATGGATGTACGTACTGTATGTTAAACTTCTTTCACACTGTACGTAGCCAACCGTGCTAATCGGAGGTGCGGAATGTGTCATCCCACAGCTGCGCGGTGGACATCTCGGAGCTGGTCACGCTGAGTGATGTCATGGACACCCTGAAGCTGGGGCCCAACGGAAGCCTCATCTACTGCATGGAGTACCTGGAGGCGAACGTGGACTGGCTCCATGCCAAGCTAAAGGCTCTGTCTGGTCACTACCTGCTCTTCGACTGCCCGGGTCAGGTACAACAGGCGGGTCTTGGAGGCGCACGTTAAGTGAACCAGGGGGTCGAGTGAAGGGGTGATCTATGCAACGCGACATGACACGGACGTTGGAGGCAGTGATTCCGGTCTTAGCCGGGTTGGTGATGTGGCCAAGCGTTTGCCGATTGTTGTGGAGGTTTCACGGTCGAGACAAACGGCCACCCTGATTAATACTGCGGTGTTCATTCACCATGAATACTACGGCGCTGTCCACTTCACAGTCGATGTTAAATTTCCCGTGCCTTTATTCTAATAAGTAATATTTTTTAAACGTTTTTAATAACACGCTTTAATAAAATGTACCGTACGAGTAATGGCAGAACTCCACGACTCCAGGAAGTGGGCCAGAAGCTTGCCACAACGTAAGGGACCGTGGTGATTTACAGCCAACGTCAGTTTAGCGTGGACAATTAGACCCAAGCCGAAACATAACATATAAAAAATTATGTTTAAAAATGTATATATTTTTTATGATAGAATATAGTATTGTCATCAATATGACATAAGTATACCAAGTTTGCAGTCGATACCACATTGGGAAGTGGGTAAAAATTGAGTTACAAGATTCGAGGATACAACAGAGTTAAATAAAAGCGTGTAAAAAGAGTTGTAGGACATGTTTTCCGGTGTCATAGTTCCAATTTTCCAAATTAGAAAAATGATTAATTTGGGTGAAATGTAATTATATTACTCTTGTGTACCAAGGAGAGCCTCACTGAGTAGAATGATATTTTTTCTAGAGGGTCTTGCCAAGTTTTGGAGGCGTGCCAACACGGCACATGAGGGGGTGGGTGGCCAGCACCACGCCCAACCGTCTTTGTCTCCCGAGTGGCAATGTTTACACAATGCCCCAGGTACTCATTTGAGGCTGAGACGATCGAGGGAGGCTCAAGACTGGTTCAGATAACCGTCACTGGTGTTGGCCATGAGCGTGAATCAAACTCGGGTCGTCGGGTTGGTTTCACAGTGCGCCAACCGGTACACCACCGCTTGTTCCGCTACACATACAACAACAACAACCGCCATTCGCCACTAAGTGGCGATGACGTCGCCACGACGCACACACGCGCGCGTGGAGTTTCCCCCGTGCTGCGTGGCCGTTTGCAGGTGGAGCTCTACTCTCACCACGGTGCCGTGCGCAACGTCCTCGGTACACTCGGCAAGTGGGATCTGCGCGTGAGTTTCATCCCAGGGGGGTGGGGACCGCCTGTGCACTGACACTCAGGGTGTCACTTGGCACACACCTCAGAATCATAATCTTTACTTATCCCGGAGAAATCCGATGAGCTATGTAGCTCTTTTTCACAGATGTCCAGTCGGGGCGAGTATCCAACACATAGCCAACGCATCATCATACAAGTACACACACATACATGTATACACTCATATATGAACAAATACATGCAACAACAACCGCCATTCGCCACTAAGTGGCGGTGACATCACCATGGCGCTTGTGCCAGGCTATGTGCACGTTAAGGCCACGTGAAGTGTCGAACGCCCGCCAGCCGGAGGTCACGGGACAGACCCAGGTGCCATGGATTGACTGACAAATACATGCACGCATATATACACACACACGTAAGACAAAGGTGCCCCATATCACCTTAACATACTTTTCGGGCAAGTGCTGTTAGCGTGCACCTATGATGGCCGGCACGGTACACTGAGGGGGTGGTTAGCCAGCACCACGCCTGACCGCCTTGCTCTCCCTAGTGCTGATGTTTACACACTGGACTGGGCACTCCTTATAAGCTGAGTCGACCTAGGGGAGGCCCAGGAACGGTTCAGTTAACCATCACTGGTGTTCGCCGTGGGCAGAAATCGAACTCGGGTCACTGGGTTCGTAGCGCAGGGCGCTAACCATTGTACTACCGCTCCCCATAAATATACATAGACAAAAAGACAAAGATCCCCAGTATAGCCTTAATATACTCTTGGGGCAAATGCTGTTTGCTCGCATAAAAAAAAAATGGTATATACACACATAACACATAGGGGCACGAGAGTGTGCGTGTCTATGGAGCTGCGTGTCTCTCTCTAAGTCTCTCTGTGTGTGTCTCTGTTTTTGAGTCTACCTCTCCACGCGTGTCCCTCTCTGTAGCTGTGTGCCGTGCACCTGGTGGACTCGCACTACTGCAGCGATCCGGGCAAGTTTGTGTCGGTGCTGTGCACGGCGCTGGCCGCCATGCTGCACGTGGAGCTGCCGCACGTGAACGTCCTCTCCAAGGTGGATCTCATCGAGACGCAGGGCCCTCTGGGTAAGATTCAGAGCCCTGCGCCCATCGCCCACCGCACAACCACCACACGGATGTCCCCAGTGCAGCCTGGCAGTCATAGTGGTGGCTACGCCCATGACCTGCAGTCTGGCGCTGTGGAGGCAGCAGCGAGGGTTGGTGGATTACCGCACGAATGTTGCGACGAATCTCTCTTCTACCCGTGGGTGTCGAGGAGGTGCCACATATTCTGGCCTCACCAGGAGAAGCCGGGTACAGCGAGTGCGGACTAATCCATCTGTTCCAACTGTACGGGAGTTGTTATCCCCTTCCCATGTGTGGGTTTTCTCCAGGTGTTCCAGTTTCCCCTCACATGTATACACAGTCATTGGCCAAAAACATTCTTACTATATATAGAGGACCACAGAGCTTAGGCAATGTTGATAGCACTGGCTTACCACCTGGCTGCTGCCTTGCCGTTTCCTCACTCCTCGGAGTCGCTCCGTCTTTCTCTGTCTCTCTCTTCGAGGGCACTGGATAGCGAGCATGGCACACAAGGGGTGGGTGGCCATTTGAAGTTAAAATATTTTTTTTATTTTTCCACCGACGTTACCTCGATCGCAGTATCGGCATCACGGTGTCGCGAGATGAGGTATCGATTCAGGAATCTCACACAACGACACCACCCCCGTCCATGTTATTAGAGTACGGCCCGCAGAAGCAGATACCGCTGAGCTACCTTTGAGATACTCTTTGGTTCTATTCGGTAAAGTCACATAGGTAAAAACAAAACAACAAAAATCACGACGTTTCGGCCACAACACAAGTGGCCTTCATCAGGTGAAGGGACCGTACTGTCACGAGGACAGCGTTGGAATGAAGACAGTCAAGCCCAGGTCGCGTCCTTTAAGCTATGTGGGAGGAAACAAAACGCTTTGACAAAGGAATTAGCATAAAATGCTCATGGAGTACCGACACGGGGGGGCGAGGGGGAGGGGAGTTTACAAATGTACAAATGTTGGTGTGAAGGGAAATGTCCGTAAAGCAACGTAAAGGACCGGCACGGTGGGGGGAAGGGGGAGGGGAGTTTACAAACGTTGGTGTGAAGGGAAATAAGCTGCTGTGAAAGTTTAGTATATCACTACTTGGATAAATATACTGTACCATTGAAAATTAGTTTAATGTTTGGTATGATTTAGAACATCTTTTCAATGATTGTTTAATTTGAAACCATCTTCTCGGTTGAAATTGTCTCTGTGTTTGTAAATCTGAATTGCCTCGTGGATAAATCTCTGATGATAACCTGTGGGTTTGCAAAGCACCTTGGTATCGGAGAAAACTATATCGTGATCACCCACAGCCTTTTAACAATGGTCAGCTACGGCAGAATAATTCGTTCTGCCGTGTTTCAAATCTGATTTGTGCTCGCGAATTCGGTCAGGGATATGTCGTTTCGTCTGCCCGATATAGCAATCACCACAGGTGCAGCTCAATGTGTAAACCCCGGGGTACTGTAAGTCAGGAATGACATCCTTCACGGATGGGATCAAGTCACGAAATTTGTGTACTGTATTGAACCGGACCAGGATCTTGTGTTTGTTTAGAATTTTGGAGATCTTCTTAGTAACGCCTGCTATATATGGTAGTGTGATGGTTTTGATCGGAGTATCAAGTGGTTGTTTCTGTATGGAGGGAGAAACAGCTTGGCGGATGGTACGGTCAGAGTATCCGTTTCTCTTGAGGGCCAGGTGTACATGTTTTAATTCACTGGTCAGGTTCTGTTGGTCCGAAATGTAATGAGCCCTGTGGTATAACGTTTTGATGAGAGAATTCTTTTGAGCTGGGTGGTGGTGGGAATCAGGTTTCAAGTAGGAATCTGTGTGGGTGGGTTTCCTGTAGACAGAATGTCCCAATGAGCCATCAGGTCTCCTCTCAAGACCTCCTCTCAAGACCTGATGGCTCATTGGGACATTCTGTCTACAGGAAACCCACCCACACAGATTCCTACTTGAAACCTGATCCCCACCACCACCCAGCTCAAAAGAATTCTCTCATCAAAACGTTATACCACAGGGCTCATTGCATTTCGGACTAACACCACCTGACCAGTGAATTAAAACATGTACACCTGGCCCTCAAGAGAAACGGATACTCTGACCGTACCATCCGCCAAGCTGTTTCTCCCTCCATACAGAAACAACCACTTGATACTCCGATCAAAACCATCACACTACCATATATGGCAGGCGTTACTAAGAAGATCTCCAAAATTCTAAACAAACACAAGATCCTGGTCCGGTTCAATACAGTACACAAAATCCGTGACCTGATCCCATCCGTGAAGGATGTCATTCCTGACTTTCAGTACCCCGGGGTTTACAAATTGAGCTGCACCTGTGGTGATTGCTATATCGAGGAGACGAAACGACATGTCTCTGACCGAATTCGCGAGCACAAATCAGATTTGAAACACGGCAGAACGAATTCTTCTGCCGTAGCTGACCACTGTTACAACGCTGTGGGTGATCACGATATAGTTTTCTCCGATACCAAGGTGCTTTGCAAACCCACAGGTTATCATCAGAGATTTATCCACGAGGCAATTCAGATTTACAAACACAGACACAATTTCAACCGAGAAGATGGTTTCAAATTAAGCAATCATTGGAAAGCTGTTCTAAATCATACCAAACATTAAACTAATTTTCAATGGTACAGTATATTTATCCAAGTAGTGATATACTAAACTTTCACAGCAGCTTATTTCCCTTCACACCAACGTTTGTAAACTCCCCTCCCCCTTCCCCCCACCGTGCCGGTCCTTTACGTTGCTTTACGGACATTTCCCTTCACACCAACATTTGTACGTTTGTAAACTCCCCTCCCCCTCGCCCCCCCCCCCCGTGTCGGTACTCGATGAGCATTTTATGCTAATTCCTTTGTCAAAGCGTTTTGTTTCCTGCCACACAGCTTAAATGACGCGACCTGGGCTTGATTGTCTTCATTCCAACGCTGTCCTCGTGACAGTACGGTCCCTTCACCTGATGAAGGCCACTTGTGTTGTGGCCGAAACGTCGTGATTTTTGTTGTTTTATTTTTACCTACGTGACTTTACCGAATAGAACCAAAGAGTATGGATCCTTGCAGTCACGAAAGCTTCAAATCTACCTTTGAGATCCCTCCTTCCTTAGTTAATCTCTGGTCCTCACAGCGGAGGGCAGCACTTTTCCACCCGCTCTGCCTTTTGAGAGCAATGCTCATCATTTAACGGCCACACCGATGTATTGAATTCTCACAGATTCGTCTGGCAGTGGATATTTCATTTTCATTATGATTCCGTGTGTTGACCCTGCAGGAAAGCCTTACTCTTTTTCAGGAGGGTTCTGCCAAGTAACTTTCTGACCTGCCCCTACTGGACATCTGTGAAAAATATCTTTATAGCTCATCGGATCCCTCCAGTTAAATAAAGATTCTGATTCTGATTGAGTTTCCACAGTAGGGGGGCAATGTTGCTGCTGTTTGCCGTGTGATCCCAATTGAGTGACATGCAAGGGATTTTTCGGTGTTGGGATGTTTTTGACCAATACCAGTTGCACTGTGTATGCACGTGTTTATCCTGGGCGCTTCTCGCTGTGTCACCGCCATACTACCATGCTGCTGCTGTTGATGATGGCGTGTGGTCTCTGTGGCGCGTGGTGTGTGTGTGTGGTGTGAGTGGTATGTTTGGTGTATATGTGGTGTGTGTGTGGTACATGTGTGCATTGTGTGTGTGGCGAGGGGGTGATGTAGCCTTTAACCTGGACTTCTACACGGAGGTGATGGACATGACCTACCTGCTGCAGTATCTTGCTGACGATCCGTTCTTCAGGAAGTACAAGAAACTCAACGAGGGGCTGATAGAGATGGTGGAGTCCTACAGCCTCGTGTCCTTCGTTCCTCTCAACGTTCAGGTTCGAGCTCTCATCCTGATAATCATCATCATGATGATAACTATGATAGGGATGGCTTGTCAGTTTAACACGTAGGCTTTCGCGATCAATATCATCCATAATACAGGTATTTGATAGAGGTCGCCCTCCGTCACACCGGGGCGACTCAGAGCGCGATGGATGTACATCGCATGTCAACAGGTTTGTAAGGGCACCCCCCAACGGCAGGTGTACCCGTGGGCACAAGGCGAGTCAGCACCCCCCTCGTGCTTTGTGCCTGCCTTCGTAGGTGCTCGCCAACAGCACTTTCCCCAAGTGTCTGTTAAAGCTATACACATGTATTTTGAAGTGGTTAGCACGCCGCGCTATGAACGCGGCAACGACCCAATTTCCGCTCACGCCCACCAACACCGGTGAAGATTATTTGAACCAGTCTTGGGCCTCCCCTTGGTTGACTCGGCCTCTATTGCGTCCTGACAGCACTTCCCTCGACGGTCTGCGTGGCCTATAGACCGGTGGGGGGGACCTTTGTGTGTTTGAGTGCAGGACGCAGAGAGCCTGCGGGCCGTGGTGCGCGCCGTGGACAAAGCCAACGGCTGCTGCTTCGGGGAGGGGGAGCGGAGGAGCATTGGGGCCATGATGTCCACAGCCATGGGCTCCGACTTCCACTTCCCTCAATATCCTAACCCTGCAGGGGGGGGATGGGCGCGGGGGCGGGTGTGGGGAGGTGGAACATGGTAGTGTGGGGTGGGGGGCCAACATGCTAGGGAAGGTGGCTGAACGAGTGCAGTACGGGCTAGAGAAGAGATGGACTGATGTGGTACAGAAGGATGTATAGCTGATTGGACTTGCCAATGACGTACCAGCAGTGTGAAGATCGGCCTCCGTGGAGGCGGTCCGTGAAGGACGCTACTGGGCAGTTGGAGGCAGTCGTCCTCCAGCAACAATGGAGGGCAGAGGAGCGACGCTCACAACAACGACCGGATCGCCGGGGCGGCTAGAATGCAGAGAGTTGGTACAGTGGGGAGTACAGGTGGTGCATGTGCCAGTCATCTCAGTCAGCCAACCCATGGCACCTGGGTCTGCCAGCGGGCCTTTGGGCTCAAAGTGCACCTAGCACGGCACAAGCGCCTTGGTGTGACATCACCACCACTTAGTGGTGAACGGTGGTTGTTGTTGGGGGGAGCACGGGGAGGGGAGTTAGAGGGGGGGGGTGGGGGTGCAAGCCTCGCTGTGACCATGCTGCGTTATCCGTTGTGCAAAACTACGGTAAAGGCGGGATTATTTCTGTCCGTTTTATTTAGTCAAGTAGTTTATATGACGACAAGAACGCGGAGAGACACACAAATTAAAGTGAAAAATGCGTCGCGATTTCCCCCGTTGCGCGAGCTCTGCGCTGTGCGGGGCGATGCACAACGGTGGTGCGACGTCATCAGCATCACAGCTCGCTCGGCTACACCTCGCTCGACGGAGCACGGAGACACGGGGCACAGAGGCATGGAACACAGGCATGGAACACGGAGACACGGGACATGGAGATGCGGGACACAGATACGGGACACAGAGATGCAAGACACAGGAACACAGCTTTGAGACACAGGGACACGGAGACACGGGACACAGATGCAGAGACACGGGACACAAAGACGTGGGACACAGGGACGCGGACACGCAGAGACATGGAGACACTGGACATGGAGTTACAGGAGACAGAGATGCGGGACATGGAGACGCAGGACACACACAGAGACAGCACATAGACGCAGAGACAGCATGCCGCGTCAGCATTACTGCCAGCAGGAAGAGAGGTGATGCTTAATTTGGTTCGAGAGTCTGCGATGCAAACTGCCGGTCCGAGCCCTGCCAGAGAGTTCGTAGCGGCAGTCGCGACACACGCACGCCGTAGTCGTGACGCGCACGCCGCAGTCGTGACGCGCACGCCGTAGTCGTGACGCACGCACCGTAGTCGTGACGCACACGCCGTAGTCGTAACGCGCGCACCGCGGTCGTGACGCGCGCACTGTGGTCGTGACGCGCACGCCGCAGTCGTGACGCACGCACCGTAGTCGTGACGCGCGCACCGCAGTCGTGACGCACGCACCGTAGTCGTGACGCACGCACCGTAGTCGTGACGCACACACCGTAGTCGTGACGCGCGCACGGCGGTCGCACGGAGGCCCGGGACGGGCCAACAACGCGGAGAGGTTAGCCAGGGCCAACGCCAGCCACGGTCGCCCGTGCTCAGTGGTCCTGTGTTGGGATTTTTTGTTGTTGAAAACGCCACCCTTTTTGAGTGTTTATCCTTGACCGAAGACGTCACGACCCTGGGGGTGCAGGAGCGGTACGTGAATCCGGTGGGGCTCTCCCTGCAGGAGGAGCTGGAGGAGCTGTGACGGGCCGTGTGCTGCCTCCCCCCCCGCCCCAACGGCACACCTGCTGCCCCGTGCTGCCCCGTGCTGCCCCGTGGTGCCCCGTGGTGCCCCGTGCTGCCCCGTGCTGCCCCGTGCTGCCCCGTGCTGCGCCGTGGAGATGCTTGCGGGTGGGGGGGGGGGCCCTGAGCCGGACAGCCGGAAAGGCCACGGCGCGGCGTCAGGCCGGACATTTAGGAAAAGGTTGGGGTCACCCACACTTGCCAACGAACGGCGTCGAGGCAATCGAACCGGGGCCCGCCGGCAGGTTGTTGACCGGCCTGCCGTGGCCGCCGCTGCTGCCCGGGGTCCGTGGGGGTCACGCCGACCGGCGTCGGACACAAGGACTGGTCGGCGCTGCCCTGTGGTTTACCCAGGGTCGCCACCTCATGCGCTGAAGAAGGGTACGCGGCGTGTCACAGCAAAAGGAAGGTGATGAAGAGGAAGATGGAGTGGATCTCGGGAAGGGGGGGAAGAGGGGAGGGAGACGGGTGAACGCGTTGTCCCGAGCAATGCGTCGTCACCGCTGCCGCTGTTGTGATGCAAGTCTCCTCTTCATCAAGAAAATGATCATGGGAAATTCAGGACGGGTGGCAACCGTATTACCTAGATATCCACTCACCCACTCACCCAATAGTCCAGTCTTTGTATGTATGTTGCACTCACCCACTCGCCCACTCTTTCACTCACCCACTAACTCCTGGAAAACGTTGATATTCCCCGGGAGAGCAGCTGCCTACTTAACTCGGGGATGATCCTATGAAACCCCAGGACAGGTAGAGAAACCCTCCCGCTTACTCTCCCACTCAACCACTTAGTCACCCACTTGGCCAATTACCCAGTCACCCACACACATATCCACTGACTCACCCACGCAGTCAGTCCTGGGAAGACTGCGATATTTCTCAGCACGGCAGCTGCTTCGATAAACCCTACTCGCCCACTCATTCACCCATTGATTCATTCACCCACTCACCCATTTATTCACTCGCCCACTCATCCACTTGCCCCATCGCCCGCTTGCCCTATCACCCAATCAGCCACACAGCCATTCGAGATAATAAATCCGTGCCTTGTCGGACTGTGCAACTCCCGTCCGTGTTTGTGTGGGATGGCTGGGAGCTCGATGCTCTGTGCAGACGCGTTTTGCCAATCAGCCCCGTAGCGTCGGGGTGGGGTGGTGGTGGGGGGGGATAGGGGGTGGTGGTGGGGGGGGATAGGGGGTGGTGGTGGTGGGGGGGTGGAAAGGGGGTGGTGATGGGGGGGACTGCCCCCATTTAAATTCCGATGGCACAATGCCCTTGGTCCACGTGATTCGCAACACGTGGGGAGTGCGCTCACTCGCCGACTGCGGTGGCCTCGTTAGCCGTCACGTGATGATAATGAACACTGATAATGGTGGCGGTAACGATAGTGCTGATGGTGGTGATCATGATGGTAACTATGATAGTGATGGTAGCGATGGTAGTCTTCTGTCGTCTGGCTGCTGATGTAGATGCAGAGCAACGACTGCAAGTCCACATTCAGGTGGTCAAGCCTGACAACCGCGTCAGGAGCAGCGGAGTGTATCGCTGTGTTGTCTATTCTGTTCTATTTAGGATTTATATTGCGCCCTTTCCATATTTGTGGATCGGGGCATCGCGTCGTTCCACGTTGTGCCTTCTGTTCTGGATGACCCCAGTCGCACACCGCTACTGGAGAGTTTTTCATTTTCCATTTGTGCATCAGCTATGCGCATCTGTTGCCACGGTTAGTGCAGTGGATGCGTTTTAAGGTGGACCGTGCGCTTCGTGGAAGATCAAACCCAATGGAATCTTCTGCGTTGGGTCTTTCACAACCAGGTGTGTGTGAGTGATGATGATAGTGGTTGTAACGATATAGATGATGGTCGTAATGATTATAGTGGTATACAGGTGGTTCGATCCCGACCCTGATGCCTGTATATTTGTAGTTTGTGTGTCTCTCTCCCCGTGGTCGTGTGGATTTTTCTCCGGGTCATCCGGTGGTTCCCTCCACATTTAGAATCGACGTCGCCACGCGTGTGTTTGGCTGCGACTACAAATGTCTACGCGATTAGGCACTTCATTGAGCTATCGTTTTTGTGGGCCAGGTCGTAAAACAGCTACATAGCTCAGTGGGCCTGACCAAAACAGCTACATAGCTCAGTGGGCCTGACCTGGTAAAAACAAATAGTAAAAAAATATATAGGAACGTTGACGTCAGAAGCAGAGAGAAATTGTCCCGTTTATAATAGCGAGGGTGGGGGGGATGGCAGCTGTGGCGCAGCGATTATCGCTCTGAGTACCACTCACTACAAGCTGGCTGGCCGAGTTCGATTCCCAGTAAATGCGAGCGACGTCCGAAGCGGTATAGGGCGGTGCGGGCCACCACACCCACCAAACCCACCACCCCTACCACACCTAATACCCCGATCACACCCACCACACCCGCCACCCCTACCACACCCACCACCCCTACCGCACCCGCCACACCCACCACACCCACCACACGCACCACCCCGATCACACCCACCACCCCTACCACACCCACCACCCCGACCACACCCACCATCCCCGCCACCCCTACCACACCCGCCACACCCACCACCCCGATCACACCCACTACACCCACCACCCCTACCACACCCACCACCCCGATCACACCCACCACCCCCGCCACACCCTCCACACCCACCACCCCGAGCACACCCGCCACACCCAACACACCCGCCACATCCACCACCACACCCACCACCCGATCACCCTCCACGTGATTAACCACTTTGTTGAACTAACATTTGTGGCCAGGTCGCTTATGAAAAAATAGCTATTTCGCTCAGTGGGTCTTACCTGGTAAAATAAAAAAAATATTTTCAAAAAGTTGATGGTTAGGTTGTATGATACTTCTATGGTCCCACATGTATTTTCTCCACATTCACCAAGCCGCATTGACCAGCGTGGTGAAGTATGATCAAACAACCCCCACGATTTACACGGCGTGGGGAGTACTTCATCCAGCGACCGATTGATAGAAGTGCCGTGCACTGCGGCAGAAGTCGGTAAGGAGTTCAAATGGGTTCGATAGCTGCAGAGGTACCACGTAAAGTTTCAACTATAATCTGAATATTTATACTGGGGGAATCTGATGATTCTGATGCGCTATAAAGCTATTTTTCACATCTGAAGTCAACGTGGACAACGTTGCCGATTTGCTTCGTCCGACGTTTCGCTTGAGATTACACCCAGCATCATCAGCTGTCAACAAGAGCTCGGCTCTCACGTGAGGGCTGAGCGATTTGGCTTCGTGGGGTGGTGGAGGGTTCTTAGTTGAAAATAACGCACGGTGTCGACCAAAAGCAACTCATGATGATGAATCATATTGGTCACGAACGCGCATGTACACCGCAGTGGCTGCGAGATGTTAACTACCTCGCCCGGTATACAGGAGGGCACCCTCGGCCCGGCCACGGTGGCCGGAAATCGATGCGTGGCCCGCGCGCGACCTCCGTGAGGCCGTGAGAGCTCCCCGCGTGCCCCCGGGGTTGTTTGTGCCGAGATGCAGGGCGCGATACCCCGCGCACCTGTCCGCACCTGTCCGCGCTCACGGTTGGGGGAAGGTGGGGAGGGGGGGGGGCTTAGTGGACAAGGGGGCGGCGAGGGGAGAGGTGGAGGGGGGCGATCCATGACAATTCGGGGCCCCCAATGAAAATCAATACGAGGTCACACACGTCTACACTCACGCTCTTGTGCAGGCGCGGCCCTGCAACTGCAACGATAGCGACATTAACTACCTCGTCTGGTACGAAGGAGGACCTGGGTTCGATCCCGACCCTGACGCCTGTTATATATTTGGAATTTGCATGCCTCTTTCTCTCCCCGCGGTCACGTGGATTATTTTTCTCCGGGTCCTCCGGGTTTTCCCTCCACATTTAGTTGAGAGTATCTACCGCTATCAATTTCCACACGATACGCCACTTCGCTCAGCTATCATTTGTGGCCAGGCCACTTCTGGGAAAAAGAGCTATATACTGTAGCTCAGTGGGATCTTACGTGGTAAAATAAAAACATGTTTATAGTTTTAACTGCTCGCTCACGCCGCTGCTGGCGGAATGGGGCTTCCACGAGAGGAATCTTCGGACGTGTGCTACTCGCAAAAAAGACAAAGATCCCCCGTATAGCCTTCAACAGACTGTTGGGGCAAGTGCTGTTAGCAAGCACCTGTGAAGGCCCGAACGACTCACGAGGGGGGTGGGTGGCCAGCACCACGCCCGGCCGCCTTTGTCTTCCCAGTATCAATGTTTTACACCGCATTCGGTATTCACTTGAGGCTGAGTCGACCTCGGGGAGGCCCAGGACTGCAAACACCTACACGTAACCCCCATTGTGGCAATCCACTGCTGGATGAGCGCCTCGCCACACCGTGCGAATCGTGAAGTATTTGAGCATACGTCACTATTCAGGTATCGCTCGGTCGCTTGCAAACTATTTTTTTTATTTTACCAGGCAAGGCCCACTGGGCTATACAGCTCTTTTTCAGAAGCGACCTGGCCACGAATGATAGCTCAACCAAGTGGCTTATCGTGTGGAATAAACCAGAGGACCCGGAAAAGAATCCACGCGACCACGGCGATAGAGACGCAAACTCCAAATATACAGCAGGCGTCAGGGTTGGGATTGAACCCACGAACCTCCTGTATACCAGGCGAGGTAGCTAACATCTCACCACCGTGGCGCCCCACGGTAATGATGATGGTGGCGGCAATGATGATGGCGGTAATGTCCGAATCAGAGGAATCCGATGAGCTATAAAGTTATTTTTGACCGATGTCTTCACGGCTACGTGGCAACTCACCTCGTCCATCGCGTCACCATCGACCTCGCGCCCGCAGATATCACCCCCCCCGCGTGGAAACCCCATCACCTGTGGACACCACCAACCCCCCTCCCATCACCACCAACCCTCTACCACACCCCCCCCTTCCAAAATCACCCCACTTCGCCTGTCACTTTGGTGGGTCACGTGGTGTCTCCGGGATGGTTATAAGCGCCGCTCGTCCGAGGTGGTCTCCACTCTC